ACCGGGCGGTCTTGGATTTTTCCAGCCTTCAGCCTCCGAACCTCGCAATCCATATCGAAATCCAAATCCCATGTTCCCCGGACATCAGCTGGCATTTCAATTGGGCGGCTGGGGCCACTCCCAAGGGCTTAATTTGGTTCACTGCAGCGACATGCACCCAATTTTAATCAGCCAAGCGGAGTACATTAAATTGATTAATGATTACGGCCACGAGATTGGCAGTTCATTTGACTGGAGCAGGGTTATAAATCCTTCAAGTTGAAGGATATTTGGGTTTAGAGATCAATTAATTAAGAGCCTTAAAAAACTCTTATAACTATAGAATGGGTGAAATATTGGAAAAGTGAATATGAATCATTGTTTTTATAATGTTAATCAAAGGAATTCCCTTTAAGTTTAAAATCACAAAATAGTTTTAAGAAAAGCTCTTAAAATTCACAATTAAACACTAAACTTTATATTCTTTATATTCTTTTTACGGGTATAAACTTAACCACAACCGAAAGTTTCACCTTTTTTTCCATGAAAAGTGAACTAAAAACCTTCAGGCCATGACTCAACTACATTCCCTTAACGGCCATCAGCAAACAAAAGAGTACTTTTGTGATCTATATTTATCACAGATATTGATAAAAGTCACGGGTTCTGTGATTTCCGTTATCATGCAATAGTTGGTTCCTCCACCCACAGCATTACCCACAGAAAGTCGTTGAAAATCAATGGATTTCCCCTACTGACTTTGCAATCTTCAAACAAAATCACACGTAAATGAAGTTCTCAATTGAACAGCTCCATTTAATGTTGAGTCAGTGATAAAATGTCAAGGCAATCTATCTCTCTGTGCTCATTATCATATTATCAATGAATTCCGTTGAAATGTTTCTTAGCACACGGTGCGTATACGCAACTTGCCTTAAGAGACTAAGATAGGAGATTTTATGAGTCATATTTGGGATGCCAATCGGCTTGGCTAAGTGAAAAGTGCACTCATGCTGGACCATTATCCATTACCCATTACCACCAACAGATCAAAATCAATCTTCTGCTCGGCTAGCTGATCAATAAAAAACTCACGTATCTCATGAGCAACTTTTTTGTAGATCGTCTGGAAACCCAAATGCGGGGGGATCTTGAGAGGGAGTAGAGTAACTGAAGCAAGTAGCTGGTTTGCCGGGCTATGGGCGGTACTTAAACTCACGCACACTGATATATAGAAAGATATATATATAGATATATATATAAATAGAAGGCACTTTTTGCGCGCCTCAAAAATTGTTATTGCACATTTAAAGGCGTCATTATTAGCGGCTACATGGAGGCACTAACAATTGTCCATGAATTTCAAATGCAGCCGAAGTCCACGCACTAATTGGACGCAGTAGGAGGATGAGAAGTAGCATGAACGGAAGGAGCAGGACCACAAGTTGGACCAGGGAGTAGTACCGATCTCGCATAGCAATTGCATTGCTTTCCCAGTTCTAGTTTTTTTTTTGGTGTTTTTGGCTGCTCTTAGTGGGTTATCACATAAATTGTGCGCACAAATCTTGATCTGCAAATCATTTTCGACAACTTTACGGCCCCGAGGCGTGGACATAGAACGGAATGGAGGTGGATGAGGCAATGGGTACCCAGTCCATATGCATATGTATGATCGTAACTTTGGTCCGCTATCTGTCGCTGCAATCTCGATCAGAGTGCGCATGCCACGATCCACGATCGCAGGCAAGAATATTTTCTGTAACTCTGCGTTTAGTTACTTTTTATTTTTTTTTTTTTTGGTCGGCATTTCCTGTGTCACTATTAACCCATTATTTGGGAACAGAGGTTTTGGGTTTCAGAACTACAGCAATGATAGAAGGAGAAATCATTGAATAATATTTTAAATTACTTTTTTGGCTTTGGCACTATAAGCAGCTTTTTTGAGCTTTAATTACAAATTTTACTAAAATATTGAAGCAAATTTTCACTTTTCCCAGAAGACCATTTATTCTAATTTTTATTCTTTTTATTCTAAAAGCTCCTTTGATATTAGCCTTTACCAAATTGTATATTTACGTTTTAGCAACAAAGAAAATCTAAACATTTTTCTAGGTATAAACAAAACCCAAATCGAAATGGGTTAATTATCCCAATCAATGGGGAAATTGAATTATTTAGTTGACCTGTCCAACCAGGCGGACACTTAATTTAGGGACCCAACACTGGCGGGTACCGTCCTGTCATCGACTAATGAAATTTATGCATTTATGCTGGAATCCTCGCCAGCGCCGAGCGAAGGAGAACGTTCGGAGACAACGGACGATGATCCATGTTAATGTCCATCAAATGTGCCAGGGGTAAAGCAGCTGTCAATTCGATTGTTGGACATGTCCACATGTCCATGTTGCAATTTGCAATTAGCCGCACTAGCAACGGATATGGCTGAGGATGGGGATATAGAGATGGAGATGGGAAGATGGGGGATATATAGACTGGACATAGGATGCCCTGCAAGTGTCGCGATGCGCGTTTCCCGTGAGAAATTTCAATTATTTTAATTAGCGTGGCGATCGCGGTCGCTTTATTAGGCGAAACCGATCGATGTAAGCGCGTCTGTGGCTCTGCGGAGTCTGAAACCGAGTTGAAGTATCTGTATCTAGCCAATTTCCGCTGCACGCAACGCTCGACGTCGCTGTCGACGTCGCTGCCATTGGGCCTGTGTGGAACTGGGGGAGCTGGGGGAGCTCGATGCTCGGAGCTGGAATTCCAAGTTGATAGCGAAGACAGTCGCCGAAGAACAGGATTCTGGTACTGGGCATCTTTGCGGCCGCCTAATGACATGTTTTGGATAATGATGACGGAGCAGGAGAAGGAGACCTCGAACTGGAGTTGGTGAAGGAGACTAGAGAGGCGACTGGTCTGCCGAGTGGCGATAAAAACCTGGAACTTAATTTAAATTGATGACACTGCTCTCGTCGCCGTCCACTTGGAAAATTGCCCACAAGCGGCGAACGTTTGCCAAGCAAATCAATCTGCATGCCAACAGTCGGGGATTCGTTTTGCAGACAGACCACCCGGCGTATGAATTCGCGGATGTCTCTCTGTGGCTTTGTAGCTTTGTAACTCCGGGCTTAATTGGCCGCAGCGGTGTCAATTGCAGCGCCACCACTGCCATCACAATGAGGGACCAATGACCACTAGATAGTGTCTAATGTGTAATGGCCACTGGCCAATTCCCTGGCCACCAGCAGTGTTCGAATGCGACTTGCTGACCAAGAGTGTCGCCCGCTGTGATTGGGAATGCCAATTTCAGCAATTAACAATGGCCATAAAAGACTTCCCTGGGACAGGTGAGTAAAGCCGTCTTAAGCTCGACGGATGTGCGATACTGAGTATCTCAGATACCAGATAGCACTAGCCAGATTCCAGATACCACATACTCGTACAAGGGGCTTACACATGCAGCACTAGATTAGCTGAGTGTGAAGCGGAGGCGGAAATGATCTGAATCCAAATCCGATGCTGAATCTGTATCTCAATCCGAATCCGTCTGGGGCATTAACCTGTAAACAAAAGCCAAAGGCCGCTGTCGAACATTAATCAACAGATCGCTTCGCTTATTGCACGCAGAGAAATTTATTGCCAAAAAATAAGTCATTAATTTGATGGGCTTTATGATTTATTCAAATTGCGATGCTATGTTTTGGTTAGAGCTTAAACTTAAATTGGTTTTATGGCAAACAAATAAGAAACCTATTAATGGAACTCATCTTCTAAAACATCTTTATATATCCTTGTTTAGTAAGCTATCGTTCAACTTTACTTACTTCAAGTACGTTCCTAAATGTCAAAATCTTAAACATTAGTTTTATAACTTTAAATATAATTACTCACATTTTCGTTTCCCAATTTCTAAAACATTTCTCTCTGTGTAGCAACAAAGTAGCAACATTTAGGAAAACACGACACGAGTCATAGCTGGTTGCTCTACAAAGTATCCATATTATTGCCCTTTGGCGGAGACTTCACAGCTTTAGCTTCAACTTCAATTTCAACTTCACGATCGTTCAAGGCGCTGCAATCGCTTATTTTTGGATGGTATAGGTATGTGGCGATGGGGAAGGGTTACGGGGAGGTTGGTAGTTCAACGACTCGATAACAATAAGTTGTTGAAAGTATCCGAGATTTTCAGCGGGTGGGGAAGTGTTGGACCGACCTTGGGCCGGGATTGACCGCTTAGAGCTCTCGAAATTTGAATTGGCCAGAAGTGGCATGGCAACGTTGAACCAATCACGCACTCACTTCCTGGCCAACTGGCGTGACCCATTGCCATTGACCCAATATGCGATGAGTAGTGCAAAAGCCCAGCCCAAATCTTAAAACCAAACCCAATTCCGATTGCAGTTCGTAACAAAGGCGAACGATGTATGTGCCGTGCACTCTGGTCCGGGAATTCGGAAATAGACACGTTCGACTGCTCTGGCACATAAACAAGTTTGATTGTTACGAAACACGGGCATTGAAATTAAAAACTGAAGACGTCGCCAGCGACACCTGAATTATTTGCAGCCCTTATCGAATAAGTACACACAAGCCGCGGTATGAGTCGCAAAAACCAAATTAGAATATCAAGCTAACATACTCATACACAGACACACACACACACTCTACGAGCAATCATCGATCGTTTTTGAGCAGCCATTTTATGAGTCGGATGGAGATGGAGATACAGATGCAAAGATACACATACGCGTTTATGTACTGTACTGTATCGTATCGTCTGGGACACATTGCATGTCCATTCTAAAAACTCGCTGGCTGGCAGAAGCCTGAAATATTGAACCGATGTTGGGCAAACGCGTTTTCCAAAGCGTGCGTTCGAGCGATCGGCTAAGTCCGATTCCCGCTCACCAATACAGCGAACGAGCGGCGGTGGCGAGCTATAGCTATAGTGCTACGATCCGATCCGAGGCCCTCACCTCACCTGCCTGGCTTTCGCTTTCAGTTGCTGCTCGCCGCTGCCGCCGATTGGTGTTGCTTCTTAACTTAGTCGCGTCGTCGTGTTGCTGCTGTGCCTTCGCCGTCGTCGTCGTCGTGTTGCTTTCGTACCGTCGTCGTGTTGCAGCTGTGCTTAAACCACCGACGCAAGGATAATACCCCATTAATACCCAATCGTACACCTTTGGCATGTATTGATTCTGAGTGCCAATTTAGAGTGGTTCAGTCCTCATTTTCAACGTCGTGTTGCCGCGGTGCAGTCGATATATTGCAGCGTGTTGCTGCTGTGACTTGAACACCGTCGCGAGGATAATACCTAGAATAAATATCTCACTCCTATGGCATAGTGTGAACTTGAGTATTAAGTTTGTGTTGCTTCCAACCCAAATCCCAAAGTTGTGTTGTTGCTGTGTAAAAGTGTTGCTGGCGTTAAAATTGTGTGTCTTTGTGTTGCTGCTGTGTCCTAACCATAGACGCAAGGATAACATAATATCCCAGTCGTTTGGCATGCGGTGAACCTAAGAGTCAAGTGCCTTTGGTGATTCCCCTAAGTTAGTCTTCTTCCCCGCCAAGGACATGGACACGGAACAGGATTCTAACAACCATCGCGGTTCGGTCTCCTCCAGCCGTTCCTTAGAGATACCTGCCACGCCTTCGCGTTCCCCCAAGAAAGTGTCCTTCTCCGACGAGCTGCCGCAATCCCAAACTCCTGCCCAGCAACCCGTCCAACAGCAACCAGCTCCCACAGGTGTGAGTCACGTGCTCCAGCAGGCTGCCCAATATCTAGAGAGATTGCATGGCGCACGCGATACTCCCGAAGAAAAGGCAGAGGAAGTACAGCCAGATGGTGATAGTAGTGATAGTAGCCTTAGCGAACCCGCCGTTCTGGATTTGGATGCAGTGGATTTGAGTGCTAATGAAGCGGCGGCAAATGTTGGCCCAATTGTAATGGCCAGCTCGCCAAGTATTCTAGTTGCCAGCGTTGGCAAGCAGGAAGCGATTGCTAGTGCAAATGTAAATGGAAATGGAAATCCGAATCAGCGGCAATCAAATTTGTACATGGAACGATACAACCTCAATTTAGATAAGAACTGCAGCTCCATGGAGCTGGAGGCGCGCCGGGAGAAGCAGCGCTGGCTGCTCATATCCGAGTGCAGTGCAATTTTTGATGAGGGCGAGGGTAAACACACAAGGGAGGCCTTCCGCAAGCTTTTCCTGGATGAGGTGAGTAGGTCTGGGAGGATCTAAAGATATCAAGTGATTCTGCAATATTATAATAGTGAATGTGATATATCCCTTAATATAAAATGAGCAATAAATCTTCTGTAATCTGTAATACCGTGTTAAAAACTATAAATTTAATCCCGATCCCGGTGGGTTTGTTTATTTATGTTCTGTTGATACCACGTTGAAAAATAATCTAGTTTCTTGGGATATGCAATAAATTACATCATCAAATGGATCCAAATAAATGGGAATGGTAATGGATATGGGTCTCAAAAAGAGTGCGATCCAGACCGCCTGACCTTGTGCCACTTACTCTGTGGTCCTTTACCCGATCGCTGGTCGATCGTAAAACTTGTTTTGTTGATGGGCTCAGTGTCTCTCTTTTTTTTGCGGCTGGTGTTTATTTTTGTTTCGGCACTCGGTTCATGAGTATTTTGTTTTTATGGGCTCCCCGAAAGCCGTTTAACCAGTCAGGGCTCATCCGTTAAATATGCACATTTTTCATCATCGCCGGGAGATCGCCGCATTTGCCGCATCAACCTTAACTGTGACCAAAAATGCAAAAGATGCTGCGCTTCGATTTGCAGACAATGATGGGCTCTCATGATCGTGAGATCGAATGCCATTATAATATTAATAAGCGGATAATTTATGCAATTTATCTTCATCACTACCGCATACTTTCTATATTCCGAATCGTGGGACCAGAACACACTCTTGATTATGCTCATTACGTGGGTCAGACCAGTGTAAACACTCATCGTGTATATAAATCTTCGATTTCGGTGGGGGTATAAACAAATGCTTCTCCAAACAATGCTAACGTAAATTAATTAACACTTCTCCTGAAACGGAGACGCATAAATTTAGCGCTTTACAACTTGTTTTTTCGGACTTGCTTACAGGAATTCCAGCAGAAGCTCTTCCAGCTGTTTGATCTCGAGCGGAATGGCTATCTCCTGCAAGATCGCTGGATCGAACATCTAAAGGGTCGGCTAACGTAAGTGTGGGTTGGTTGGTTGGTTGAGGAGGTGGGGTCACCTCTTTTGGTTTTCCCGGAATCCTCTTGCTCCTCAGAGATCGTTGCTGCTGCTTCTGCTTCGACGGTGCCAAAACAATTAGCTCGCCTTGGTAGAGAAGCAGAAAAAATAGTCATCCGATCTAGTCCGATCTACTTGGATCCACACACGCACCTGGCTGGCGTGCTCCAGGCATTCCAGCTGCGCCGACCAGAAGCCCCTGCCACATCACTTCCCAGATGCCAGATGCCAGCTCCGTTCCCAGACGATGTCCGTTGCCCATGGCGATGCTATCTGCGCTGTGTGTTAACATATACAACAGCTAACATAGTCCGCGTGCCTCGACAGTTGCCTCTAAAGTTGGCTCTGGATTGGAACTTGGGACCTAGACGGCTGCTCTGCAGCCAGAAACTGTCATTGCCTGCCTGTCGTAATGAAGTCATTCAAATACAAATATAGTGCGAGCAGCAACAGTATCTGCGGGATGCGGGATCCGGGAGTCCCAGGTATCGCGTGCACAGAACAAAAAAAAATGGAAAAACGATATCATATTTATATATCCAGATAATAATTCTCAAGTGCTCCGAAACAATTAAAAATTCAATACGACTTCATCAAAGTGAATAACATCATCGTACATTGTAAATATATTAATTTTTTAATGTAAACACAAATCAAAATAATTTGGCATTCGGCTGCCAAGTGCTGATGGAGTACACATGTAAATCAGAAAATGGAATCAGCAAAGATAAGGATGGAAATATATGTGTCAGTGGAAACAGGCTATTAAATTTGAGAACAATTTTAAATGAAATCCAGTTTTATTTTCATTAATTCCTTCGATAATAACTTATTGACTGATTCAGCTTAATAAATTGGCTTAGTATTGTTCTTATCAATGGAAAGTAATAATCATTTTTGAACAAGTTAAATATTTATGTTTGATGACTCACTTGGAATATCGTTTTCTTAGTAATTATATGGCCAAATGTTGTTCTGCGTAGCAATGCCTAGAGAGGTGGGAGTACTTTAATTGGTTATCGTTAAGTTGGAGGTGTTGATTTGTTTATTCGATTCTTACAGCGACGATCGACAGATGGACTTTGCCGAACAAATTGAATCGGTGGCCTATGTGATCTGCGGTGAAAACAAGAGAGTGACCTTCAAGAACTTTCGTGATATATGGCACACAAGGGGGGTAAGTTTAGACTAAGAAGTAGTAAAAACCTTATAATCCATGTCCCTAACATCCTTAACAGATTCTTGATAAGCTATATCGCTTGATAGAGGTAGATGGCAGCAACTTGATATCCACCAACCAGGTGATGGAGTTCATTTCACACCTCACTAACTCCCGACCAAGGACTGGATTCGACAAGAGTTCACTGGCCCGACTGGAACAACTCTTTCGAACCACCGTGGGAAACGAGCAAGAGATTCGAAGGGAGGAATTCCAGAAGATCGTCACCTCGAAAAATGTAAGTTGTATGAATGACTCGGTAGGTCTTATGAGCAATACTATTTAAAAGTTATTTACTATATATGAAATGGGTCGTTTTTTGTGTTTCTCTATTAGCTAAAAAGCGTTATTGTTATTAACTTTTATAAACTTTGCTTCTATATGAAATGGAAAAAACAGTACTAAACTTTGACAACTTGTAATAGTTTAGGAATATTAACAATAAAAGTACACATGGATTGTAAAACTTATCATGCTTGTTTGGCTTTTTCACAGCCTTTCTTCACGGAGCGGGTCTTCCAAATCTTCGACAAGGACAATTCGGGTTCCATATCGCTGCAGGAGTTTATCGATGCCATACATCAGTTCTCTGGTCAATCGGCTGATGACAAGATTCGCTTTTTGTTTAAAGTCTACGATATAGATGGTGAGTTTATTGATTGAAATAAAGTTTTTCCCGATTTATCACTAGTTCTACTTGCCAGGTGACGGACTCATCCAGCACAAGGAGCTACATGATGTCATACGACACTGCATTAAGGAGAACGGTATGGAGTTCTCAGAGGACCAGATCGAAGACCTAACCAGCGCCATGTTTGAGGATGCCGATCCCCACAACAGTGGAGAAATCACTTACGAGGCCCTAAAGAACCAACTACACAAGCATGGTGGCCTCCTGGAGAATCTTAGCATAACGTAAGAATTGAAGGAAGCTCTAATAGTCATGTAATAAGTGAATTTCATTCCACAGAATCGATCGCTGGCTAGTTCCCATCGCAGAGGATCGCCAAGCGGGAGGGGCAGCTAAGAGCGGATTTTGGAACTCCCTGCCTCATCAGTTCTCGTTGGCCTATATGAAAAATAACCAGGTCTTCGTCACGTACCTCTTCTTCTATATAACCGTCAACCTGTGCCTCTTCATATCCCGCGCCATCCAGTACCGAGCTAGTAATGGATTCGTTATCATAGCCAGAGCTTGTGGTGAGTACTCCTCAGAAACCTATAACTAGTTATAGTTCTGATATAGTAGTTACACAAGCTAATAAATCACCAAGTTTTACTACAACAAATACTACTACTACTACTATAACAACCACGGTTTATGTCCTTGGTAAATGCGTAAATTCTCTTGCTTTATTATCATATTTAAATTGCCTTTTGCTTGTCCAATGAAACATAAGAAGGTCACGGAAAATCAGTAGTTAATGCTTAATTACGCAATTAAAAATATTGTTCCAAATCAAATCAAGTAGTTGTATGTGTGGGGATAAAGTTGCTTCCTTTAAAAGTAATAAAAAATTGATCAATGTTTTCAACTTTTAGGACAATGCTTGAACTTCAACTGTGCCTGGGTCTTAGTACTTATGTTGCGACACTCGCTGACTTACCTGAGGGGGCGTGGTCTGTCATCGTATCTTCCACTGGATCACCATGTCTATCTGCACAAGCTCACGGGCATCACGATCTCCGTATTCAGCTTAGTACATACGATCATGCATCTCTTCAACTTCTCCATCATCGTGATAAACGATCCGAACATTAATGCTGGACACTACACCATTGGTGAATGGTTGCTCACAGATCGTCCTGGATTGTTTGGCTTGATACCGGGTTGTGCTAATCCAACGGGAGTAGCTCTTTTGGCCATCTTGGTGGTTATGTTTGTGTGCTCACAACCTTTCGTTCGGCGAAAGGGCAGCTTCGAGGTGTTCTACTGGACGCATCTGCTGTACGTGCCTTTCTGGATACTGTGCCTATTCCATGGACCCAATTTCTGGAAGTGGTTCCTGCTGCCAGGACTCGTTTACATAGTAGAGCGGGCACTTCGGTTTATTTGGATGAGGGGAGAGCATGGCAAGACATATATCAGTTCTGGGTTGCTTTTGCCTTCCAAGGTGGTCCACCTAGTGATTAAACGGCCTCATCACTTTAATTTCCGACCCGGAGACTACGTCTTTGTGAACATTCCGGCCATTGCCAACTACGAGTGGCATCCGTTTACCATTAGTTCAGCGCCTGAGCAGGAAGACTACATGTGGTTGCACATACGCACTGTTGGTGAGTGGACCAATCGCTTGTATCGATACTTTGAGAGGGAGCAGCAGAAGTTGCAGCAGAATGGTTCCTCACAGGAGATTCCCCAACACATGCATGCTATACCCACGCCAAGTTTTATGCTGCTCAACGAAGCTCGAAATCCTGCGATGTCCGGAGAAAGATCTGCCACGCCACAAACAGATTTTCTGGCCAAAAATCTAGCTGTTCAGGCAGTGCCGCCAGTGCGTCCTCCACGACAGAATCGCAAGCCTACAACAGGAACAGCTCCCGAAACTCCAGTCACAGGAGTTAACCGTATTCGCAGCATCAAGAAGACTCTTCAGCGTACTTTCTCCCGGAAGGAGGCAGCGGAGCCCAAGAAGGGCATGTCGAATGGCTCCTTCCTTAGTGATGGCGACCGGGAGGACCCCAACCTGAAGCAGAGGCCGCTGGAGAAAAGCATCTCCTTGCCGGATATTAGTGTGAAGAGTAAAAAGAGAAGTCGGCTCAAGGCGTGAGTATTTACTTTCGATCAAATATCATTCAGATATTGACTTCTATGGCATCTCTAGCCTACGAGCTTTGGGTCGCTCTGAATCCGAGTCTGCCTTTGATGAGAAGCGAGTTCGCCGCGCCAGGAACAACAGTGTAGGATTGGCTTACCTCAGCCCTCAGAACAAGTCGCTGGCACAAAGTTTCCGCTACATGCGCACGAAGCCGACGATTATTGCCTTTAAGACGCCCAGCATGGAAGAGCGGGAGCATCAGTTGTCGGCCGGTGAAGCCAATGGAGCAAGTCCCGCCAGCCGAGCAGAGCAGGGTCAGCTGGGTTCCAAAATGGATCCAGTTGACAAGTTACAGGTAGCCAGACTCAGTCTGGCAGCCGAAGTGGCCTCCAAGCCATTGGAGGTAAGTAGTCGGTAGCTGTCCTCCCAAACTAACCCCTCTAAGCCACTAATTTTAATCGAAGGACCAAACACAAACGGGCTCGGGCAGTAGAAAGTCCATTCTGCGGCGTCCCACATTTCTGCGCACCCTATCCACCTCCATAAATAACAGAACAGGCGGAGGCGGTGGTGGATCAACTGGTAGCTCCACAACTAACAGCGGTGGCAAAGTCACACTCGATGCGGGAGTCATGGAGGTTCGGGTTACACCAACACACATACCAAAAGCCATTTAGGGCTAACCCACTAACCTAATCCTAATGCTAACTTTGTGATCTTCCTCCTAGATCTTCATCGACGGGCCTTATGGAGCGCCCTCAAGTCACATCTTCGGGGCTCAGCATGCGGTGCTTATTGGCACGGGTATTGGAGTCACACCGTTTGCCTCCATCCTCCAGGTACATTAGTCTTACATATTCCAATACCCAATCTAACTATATACTCCTTCATAGTCTATCATGCACAGATACTGGAAGGCCCGTCATAGCTGCCCGAGATGTCAGTTCGAATGGGCCAGTGAAATACCCAAGTCTGTGATGAACCTGCGGAAGGTGGACTTCTTTTGGATCAACAGGGATCAACGATCCTTTGAATGGTTCGTCAACCTCCTGTCCCAACTGGAGATCGAACAAGCAGAGCTGGGTGGCGCAATGGAGCGGTGAGTTCCAACTGAAAGTACCTATTGAATGAAGTAAGCCAAGTTTTTATCCTCAGCTTCCTGGACATGCACATGTACATAACAAGTGCGCTGCAAAGAACGGATATGAAAGCAGTTGGTCTTCAATTAGCTTTGGATTTGCTACACGAAAAGGTAACACCGGAAGAAAACATACTCTAACATCAATTTGCTAACTATTCACCTTAATTTTCTTTCCAGGGCAAGCGGGATCTGATAACTGGTCTGAAAACTCGTACGAATGCCGGCAGACCCAACTGGGATAAGGTGTTCAAACAGCTGCAGGCCCAGCAAAAGGGCAAGGTTACCGTTTTCTACTGCGGACCACCACAGTTGGCCAAAACACTGAGATACAAGTGCGACCAGTACGGATTCGCCTTTCGTAAGGAGTGCTTCTGAACAAGCCACATCTCTTGCCCTCATCCATCTCCTCGTCCACTTTCATCTCATCTCTTGCTCTGTATCAACCCTCCTTCGTTCATCTTGTTCTCATTTGCATAAGCAACGGGTTTATTTCGGGTTCGGTTCGGTTTAGCTTAGCTTAGATGGCTATTTATTCGTCACCTGTCTTGTTGCCTCATTGTTGAGTGTGTCCCCCAGCTTGTAAATATCTATATCTATATGTATAATCTATGTACTCATGCAATAAAGTTTGTTACCCAATGTGCCGTCCAAATCCCGATTGCATCTGGTTCAGAACGAGTACATCGTGAGCTTCTTTGCAGGCGGCTCCGAGTTCTACATTTGATGCCCCCGGTTGCAGTAAATCAGCTTCAAAATCACTTACAATTCGGACACTTAATAAAAACAATAACGAAAACAAACACTCTATATTACTAAGCTACCTGAGGGGCATCCATATACCAATTTACTGCCTTAACCATGTGCTGAAATTGATGTCACTGGGCCTGGACATGCGGGCAATAGTTATTGTCTCGTCGTCTATGTTGTCCACATTGTAGAACTCTCTTAGCTCAGAAATAGCCGTCTCTTCGATCTGTGTGTGAACCAAAGATTTGTTTCGCATGCGCTCGTAGGACTCTCTCTGCCTTCTCTCATCGGCCAGGATGCGCGAGAAGCTCTGGCCCTGTTCAGTAGGAGTGGTCGATGAGGCTGCTTGTCCTCTCATCATATTGGCAAATGAGGTCGGATCCGAACTGCTACCAGTGGTCGGCGAGGTAAAAGTGTCATTGAACGAACTTGACGGTGTGGTGGTCACTCCCCATGCATTCGGCACTGCAACCGGCGTGGAGAATTGCTCTACCAGGGGTTGGTTGGCCCGCCAACTCTTGGATTCGGAGGAAAGACGCTTTCGTTGTTTCTGTGAAAGTTTCTGCGACTGGGGCGTTAATGAGCTAAAATCGAGGTTGTAACTCTTGCTCAAGGGAGTAGTGGGTTCCGTTTCAGAAGAGTATGGCGGAGGTGTTTGCTCTTTTAGAGGCTTTCTTTCAATGGGTATCAGTTCAGGAGTAGGGGGCTCCTCCTGCTTGAGTGTGTTGTTCACTTTCAAAGCAGTTTCAGCCTGTTTACGCTTTTGATCCTTTTTGTCCACCACCCGTGACCAGTTTTTGACTTCGCTGCGTGAGCTTTCCTGTGGGGATGAAGGCACCTCTGGTCCGGGAGCCGATTCGCTGACGCTTAGAGATCGCATCATGCTTGATATGGCTTGCTGTTCATACTGGTGTCGGGCATCCTGCTTGCGTAAGTCCTTCTGCTTGTGCTTGGCAGCCTGCTTAAGCTTGGACTCCTAAAAAAAAATCACATTAGATAAATTTTAAAGTTTTAAATTTGAAAATACAAACCGCATCCATTCTGTAATCCAGGTCCACCTCACAACCATCCACAAAACTTAGCAACAGCTCATCCTCTATAGCCTCTGAGAAGGGTGTTATTTGCCGATAATCAAACACTCTTTTAAACATGTTTCGATAGTGGTCATTCAGGCATTTTAGAGTCTCCCCATCGCATTGTTCAATACTACGATAGCAAAGCACTCTTGCCAGATTTTGGCAGATGAAGTCCATGCAGCCCTTCTGCAGTAATTTGCAGTTGTACATGGCAGCAAACTCAAGCATCTCTCCGCACTTTCTTATGCTGATCTTGTCTAGAATGAGTGACTCACACACGTTCTGGAGCGACTCTATAAAATACTGGTCGCAAATAGTGATCATATTGTAAAGGAACGTCTCCAGGTAACCCTGCTTGCAGAATGTCTCGGTTTCTAGACTATAAAGGTAGTCCAAAACCGGTTCCATATACTCCGCAGGAACGCCCTCCATTGTGACAGAAGAACGTTCCGCCCAGGAGTGCATGAACATCATCTCGAAGTATTCTAACCGTGCTACTAACATACATTTATGAGCCTCTAGTATCTTTCCGTCCTCGCACACAATCTTTACATCATAGAGCTCCGGAAAATCGGAGCGATGCAATCGACTGAAACGCTGGCGAGCATTGGGCAGTGGGAATTGATTGTCTCGCACGTAACTATGCACGTACTTGGCCAGCTCGACTAGCTGAAACTTCTCCAGATGTGGAAGGAACATCTCACAGGTTCGGGTCCGCTGTTGTGGATTCGCGGGGCCCAAGCTTTGCTGTATACAGTCGATATCTGTGTTAAGAGTTTATTTAGTTTAGTTATAAGTATCTTTTAAGGCTATAACTCACCATCCTCAGTTGGCAAATAACTCGTGTAGATGTGCTTCAGAATCAATTCAAACATCTTCCCCGTTAAATGCTCAAAATTAAGATATATATTCTTATCCAAATAAAAGCGTATGAGCTCGGTAAGACCTGGTGCCCGACTATATATGATGAACTTGTGGGCAGCGAACTTCTCACCATCCACATGAAACACCACATCGTGGACAGCATCGCAGTCGCTGGTCTCGTGCAGCAGCTTTTTAAAGCTGTGCTCTTTGCGTGGCAGTGTTGGTTTTCGGAAGTACTTAGTATGTGACTCCTGAAGGACGGCGAAAGAGGAGAATCCTTCGTCGCAAAATATGTCGCTGGCTCGGTCTATATTTGGCACTCGTTGCAACTCGATACGGATCACGTGCTCCCGCGAGATTTCAGTTTTATTCTGATCGTTGTCCTGCCAGATGTCAAGGTTAGCCCGGGACTTCTCTTGAAGTGCTGAGGCGGGCAAGGCAATCTGATTGCACTTTCCCCGATAAACACAGCCATCCTCAGAAAGCACCATAACCTGATTGCACTTGTAGAGGATTTTTTTAATTTGGGGAAGGCGTATAGGTGAAAAATTACATCTGCGAGGGAGTACATAAAAATTATAAACTTTTAAATGGAATTAATGCTTTACCTGTAAAATTGCTGAGTATTCTCATACCACAAATACACTACATTGGTTTCAGTAAGCATCATTAGCTTCAAAGCTGCAGCAGAGCCCTTGGTGGAGTTCTTAACGTTTCCACCCATCACCGATATGCTTTTGAGATCTTCGTAGCTAGTGGATGGCATATTTGTGTCATATTACAACCATATAAATAAGTCAACTCACTTTGGCGTCTTAATGTATCTAGTCTTGTCTGCATAGTAAAGAGTAATCATCTTCTCCTCACTGTAAATTACCGTGGCTGCATTGTTGGCCTCCACAAAACGGATTGTAGTCTTGGCAGGCAGCTTTATCTACAGGAAAGATCCTTAGAGCCGTACTACCCAAAACCATGGTAATAACTCACCAATGTGGGCACCATAATGGTCGGTGTGTTAGCACTGATGCCAAACTGGCCTTGGTTGGCCCCCCAGACGTAGACACACCTGCTGCCGTAGGCGATCGAGTGCTGATCACAGGCGATCACACGCACCAGATCGCTGGCACCTTTGTCACGCAATGCGACCACTTCTTTGAACTGAGTGAGATGCTCGGGGGCATCACGCACTCCCAGCTGATGGTCTGTGTTTAAGCCGCAGGCGAAAACAAGTGAGCGGTGCGTGAGCACTAGAGAGTGCTGACGGGAGACGCTGATACACAATATGGAATCGTCGCCAAGTTTTGAGGACACCTTCACCCTCTTGGGAGCAGGCAGGCTATTTTCTACACCAATGCCAAGGCGACCACCTTTGCCATGACCAACGGCGTAAAGGTGACCCTTTTTGTCGCAAAATAGACTATGGTAAGCTCCAAGGGCCACCTGTTCCAAAAACAGATTGGACTTGCGGAAAAAGTCCACCGCCTGTGGGGAATTGGTGTTCTGCTCGTTGCCAATGCCAAGGTTGTAGTTCTTGTTGGAACCCCAAACCAGGACATCGTTCCTAAAAATATGTAAGTTATTATAGAGAAAATAATCATATTCCTGATCTCTACTAACTGCGAGTCCATGGCAAAGTCATAATCATCACACTTTCGACAGATGGCTTGCAGTGGACATCTGGTGTCCTCATCAAGAAGCTCCAAGCTGGCCCCGTAGCGTAGTAGTAGTACGGCACAATCTATTGAGCCATAATATAGGGCTCTGTGCAATGGGCTACTGCCGGATTCATAATCCTGGCCATTTATATAGGCTCCATGATTAAGCAGCCACTCTAGAATCTCGTATCGTGAAGTGGATGCAGCCATGTGCACCGCCGAGCGACCCTAGATTTTCAAGATGTATGTATATAAAACATTGTCTAGGGTTCTCCTATTTCACCACCCACCAGGTCGTCAAGAATATTGGCGAAATTTCCGCACGTCTTGAAAATAAAAGCCGCCAGCTTTTGGTGGTCAATGGAGCGCTTAGTCAGCGCGGCTGTGATTGCGTTTCCATGCTGGCGGTGTCTACACTTCGCGGTGCAATCGTATTCCTGGATCCTGGCGGCTGACATCGGATATTTTATAAATAAATGCCGGGATATCAACCTTTTTACGTGGATTTATTTTGTTTTGCTGAGGGGTAGTGTGACCAAGTGGCACGAAACGGTCACAACCTTAACGAAAAACTCAACGAAAAATATTTGAATTTTAAGTGGGCGCTGATTTAAATCTAAAAAACAAGTTTTTTTTACCACACTCTTTTTTTTGTAGATCATGATAATAATTAGAAGACTCCTAATAAAGATTTTTGTTACCGAATCTTTAACAAAGTAAATTATATTTTATTTCATTAGATTTGAATACACAGAAATAAATTTGTCTAATAACTTAGCAGTATCTACATATATTATTTACTTCAAAACTGAAATACAACGTCTTTCAAATAGTATTAAATTGTTAGATTAAGACTTTGAAAAAGAGTTTGTGCACTGCAACTGAATAATAAAATATTCACAATGTTTCGATTTCTAAGTAGAAGTTCTTAAGAAAAAGTCTCTTAAATATATAGTACATTCGACAAGGTAATGGCTTACAGCTAAGTTTACTAATTATGAAACATATTGTTGATAAATCGAACGTCACGCCTTTTCGATTTGATTGATTGCGGGTAGTCGCAGTCTTCGCTTTTTGAGTATGACCAAGTTTTCATTACTTCCTTTCCGTTTCAAAATGGATCTTCCCGCTACTGAGATGACTCCATTCTTCCGAATTATGGAGTAAACACAGACTTCGTTTGGAACCTGTTTTAGGGATGGTCGATCAAAGTTACGTACTCGCGGTTTTGTCGTTGGCTGCGGTAGAGGTTTATTGGAATAGGAAATATCTAGAAAGGATATATCCTTTTGTTTGATTGGGGTGATGAAGTTATGTATCCACGTTTTACTTTTTGGTTGAAGGACTTGGACCGAATCGTTTTGGATTGGCGTGGAGATTGATTCTTCAGGAGGTGGTGATTCAGCTGGAGGTTTTTTCGGTTCAGCTGGTATGATTGGTTTGCAAGGACGCAGTTTTCCCTAAATAAATAAAAGATGTTTCTCACTACTAGTAAGGAAATCAAGTTGGACATATTTACCAAACAACAATGAAGTTTCTGTGCCTTGGCTGTGTCGGCTATGAGTAAACCGCATTTGCATTCGGCATATCCATGAATCCTGTACAGGGGACCCCGTCTCTTGATGCTAAAACACTTCTTGACGTGGGAGAAACGGTTTTTAAATGAAACCATTGATATCCCACATCCTGGACACACTACCATCTCCACTAGCTCACCCATGGTGTACCAAAAAGTTTCCCTTAGCTCTACAGCTTTAGGAGTTTCACTGGATTGTGTATCAGCCTGCTATAGGTTAAGATTAGTAAATGAATGTATTGGCCATATAAAATTTACTTACCACAACTTTCTCTGAATCCGTCATGATTGGATCTCCTGGAAATATGAAAGTAAAAACGTAAACAAATGGTCAAGTGTGCTCCATTCTAAAATACTCTACTTACCAAGCTGTTATTGTGTTCCAGTACTAAATGAGTATGTGCCTTAAGCTATTATGTTGACAGGACTGAGATCCACTGCGATATTAGCTTTATTTTCTTCACAATGTTTTATAATTATTAATAACAAAAAGTTGTAATGCAATCAACAGAGTGACCAGTTTGTTTACAGATAATGTATCGTTGTGACCAGTGTTACTAAATGCTTACAGCTTGCCCGACTATTGTGAACTGAACTGGAAAAACAGCTGTCGCCTTAAGTGCACTGCGGCATTAAACAAATTAGTTGTTAAACAAAAATAAAAAACTGCATTTTACGCCTTAATACTTAGATGGCTTTTTATTACCTGTAACAAAGACTACAAATTGCAATGGGTAAGCTTGCGGTGATGAAGGAATCGGGAAGAGAAAGAGATTTATGTGCAAGCTGAAGATGCTTAATTGTTTACTTTGTTTTTCACTATTTTCAACAGATTCCTCCCCTTGCTGCGTACTCTGCATGTGCGAGTATTCGGCAATGATGGGGGACTATATAGACGTGCACTCCGCTCGAGCCATCCAACTGGAGGTGGCCAGGATCGTCAACCAGCACTTTCCCTTCCAGATCTCCAAGGAAAGTCACGAAAGGATCTGTGGACGGTGCTGGAAAACTGTCTCCGATTTTCACACATTGCACGAGTTCGTTAGTGCTGCACAGAATTCGTTGCAGGAAACTAAAGTGCTACTCATGGAGGATGATCCTCTCACACAGGGAACTTCCACTTTCCCAGAGGTTCTGAAACTGCCAGGCCAGGAGCAGGAGGACGAGCGGCTGCCGGAGTCAGCGGAACTTGGCGGGCGGAACTTTTTCTACCCAGAGATCAAAATAGAGGAGCACGAGCTAGACCATCTACCCCGCATCGAGATTCTGGAGAGCACAGCCAACACACAAGGATCCCAGGACCAACAGGAGGGTAGTGCCAGACGTTTGAGGAAGAGGTTGAAGGCAGAGGAGGGATCGCTTGGGGATAACGGGGATGATGAGGATGTCATAGATTCAACTGTAGAGCCTGCTCCGCCCAAAAAGCGACGTGGTCGTCCTCGAAAAGCAGACGCAGCTATTGCACCAAGCCAGAAGCCGAAGGAGGACATAAAACTTGACCTTAAGGCAGAAGAGCTGGACGAGTTAATGGATGAGGCCACCGATCCTGACTTCTCATGCAACCTAGACGACGGATTGGTGCCCACCGATAATTCCTCCGAGGACGAAGGCAGTGGTGGCTTCGACTCCGATTCAGATTTCGAGCTGGACAATTCGGGAAAGCAGGAGTTTGCTGTGCTCCCCAAGAGAACAGTTGTGCGTCCCAAAAAGTACAAGAAGCGAACGAAACCGGCGGAGCCGAAAGTTCGCATGTCCCGAGAGCTGCTGGAACAGCGCAAGAAACAGCAGGAGGAGTACGACGTCATCATCGCCAAGTTCTTTACCAGCGTGCTGCCGTGTGCCATCTGTAATCTGCTCGTGCACAATTTCACTGAGATGCAGCGCCACCACCGACTAACCCACCAGGTTGATCCCGGTTACATGATGTGTTGCGGCCGCAAGTTCACACAACGCAAAGTGCTGGCCGAGCATGTGCTCGTCCACTGGAACCCGGATCATTTCAAATGCGGTGTATGCGAGAAATCATTCCAGAATTCGAGGCACCTAGAATCCCACCAGCAGGTGCACATGGATCCAGCCATTAAGCTGACCTTTAGCTGCGATCTTTGCTCGAAGACCTTCCTCAGCAAGACAGCTATCGACTACCACAAGCTAAACAAGCATGTGCCCAAGTCGGAGTTCAAGTTCACCTGTTCAGAGTGCAATAAAAAGTAAGTAAGCTCCATAACCGTCTTATACAGCTTTATTAATTTTGGGTTGCCAATCTCCTAAAGATTTCTTACCGAGCGTAAGCTAAAGAACCACGTGAGTTCCATGCATGACCCAGAGAGCACTATCATCTGCGACAAGTGCGGCAAGCAGATGCGCACCAAGATCATCCTGAAGAAGCATCAGGAGCTGATGCATTCGGACAAACCCCGGCCGGAGCCGGAACTGAAACAGTGTCAGATTTGCGGAGCTTGGCTTAAGGGCATGACCGGTCTAAAGCAGCACATGAAGAGCATCCATGTAGAAAGTGCGGGAGAGCATCGCTGTCACATTTGCGCCAAGGTGTCACCGAACGCCAGAGCTCTCAGGCGACACATCTACCACAATCACGAATGCGAACGGAAGTTTAAGTGTACCATGTGCGAGAAGGCATTCAAACGCCCGCAAGAGCTGAAGGTTTGATTAAGATGCACTATGAAAAAGGTTTTCTTTTATTTACTTATTGATATCTCCTAAAGGAACACACATCTACTCACACTGGAGAGGTACTCTACACCTGTCCCAACTGCCCGATGACGTTCTTCTGCAGCGCCAACATGTACAAGCATCGTCAGCGATTGCATCGCGCCCAATACGAGGCAGACAAGAATCAGCCCAAGCCTCCTAATATCCTAAAGATATCGCGAAACGCCTCCTCGCAAAATAAACCCAAGCAGGAGATCTAGCACGTAAAAGAAATTATATAAAATATTGAACGCCATTTTCACTTTCACAGAATTTGGTCGACTCTAAATTAAAATTGTTTTAATGCTATGAATCATCTAGTTTTCCATATTCATAAATATTTTCCAATTATTTCTCTGCATCGAAAAGAGAATTCAAAAGACTATTGTGAGTCAAGATAATTCGAATGAAGTCTGTGAAAGTAAAAATCCATTTAGCGTTTTGTACATTAGTTTTAAGCAAAAAGTATTGATAAATAAAGGCGAACTGGACTCGCCTCCAATCCATCAAAAAATTGATAACAAAACAAAGTTGGGAATGTCTTTCTTTCTTTATAATTATTTACAAGGATGGCTTAATTGCACCTTATATAACGCAATGACATTTACATGGTTTCTTTCTTTTCATTTTTACACATAGTATGCATAACTTTAAAATATTTTTAATATATATTTATACTGTATCTCTCTCACGTTTCGCTTAACTCGGTACACAATTTTCGATTTAGCAATAGGAAAAACTGAAAAACTTTACATACGAATATACGAATAGAATATTATTGTTCATATCTCATGTGGTAGACCCTCGATCGCTGCTGGTGGTTGTTGTTTCTTTTTTTATTTAGTGGGTTAACACGCACACGCGGGGTTAAACAAAAACAGGCAGAACCACGAAATGCTTGAGCGGTTCTCCTCAGCGATTAGTAGTAGTATGCAAACAGCGCGCGCAGCTTATAGACTTTTGATATCTAGGCAACATTTATAAATACAATACTTCCGTTAATTAATAGTTTGTCTTTACTCGAAACGTACCATTGCATCGGAAATTTGTTAGCGCAATTAGTTTCGTTCTGTTTGCGATTTGCGACACCATTTTTTGGGCTTACAAATATTTTGGGCATGTTTTTGTATGTTGGCTGTTAGTCACGGATACAAGTGGATATACCAAAGTGGAGCACAAGCACGAAACGAGACGAAATGTTTGTAAAACAAAATGTAACTCAAATGTTTATTATGTATAGCTACCAAAAAACAAACGAAAAGGAGAAGTAAAGCCGGGGCTTTAGCGACAATGTGTGTATGTAAATTTGGCTACGGGTTAAACACTCTGTTCATTCATCATATTATAATCATAGTAAGGCATAAGAAAAGAACATAAAATACTGTTTTGCGAACTGAAATTGGGGACAAAGAACAATTAGGAAGTTCTACAAGATCTGGGATGATTGCAAACTTTTTCTTTCTTCTTTTTTGTTGACGCGCGCCTCGATTTCTTGAACCGGAAGTTGGATTTGAAACAGTTATCGACAACGCGCAACATAAATAACAACAATAATTAGATAACAATGACTAAAATTATTTAAAGTAATCTATTAATTTTGTTTCATTAGATGTCTGCGAATGGTTCAGCTGATTTTAAGTTGGTTGTTTTGTATTAAAGTGTATTTTGTGTGGCTGGATGTATGCTATTCTGGGGACGGCGGGCGATCTTAGACCTTGGCCTGCTCCACCATATCGATGTTGACCTTGTAGAACACATAGGGGAAGTATTCGGACTGGCCAAAGCCGAGGCCGGGGATGTCCACATTCTATAACATGAAATAAAGATAATATTATTTATTTTGGAACATATGGTTGTTATCAAAGGAAACCCACATCAGCACTGCTGACAGCACCACCAGCGGAGGCGCCATCCAAGTGACCGTAAAGCTGGTTGAGCACATCGCGCAGACGCTTCACGCTCTTCTTGTTGGGTTCGATCAAGATGGCCTGGAAGTTGACAGGCAGACCGTATCTGTGGATTCCCAAAAACATTGTCAACTACATCGTTTAATGGCTTTAATTTAACTATATACCTCAGCACAGATTCCACAAATACGCGCAGCGCCTTTACGTGGATCAAGGCGCAGAATGCCTCACTGAAGTTCACCTTCAGCCAACGAACCAGAGGACCCTGTAATGGAAATAGGTTTAGAAAGTCTTTCCTCTAAGAGATGTCTTCTTCGCGCTACGCACAAACTGCTTCTTCTTGTCTGTCATCAGCTTGGTCATCTCGTTCTTGCCGGCGGCCAACTCCTCCTCATTGTAGACAAAGTCGCGCACAATAAACTTGCGCTCGCGGGCATGGAGCTTGAACTCCTCGGCCACCTTCTTGAACAGCGTCACGTTGAACAGGCAGTAGTCGCTGTCCTCCTGAATGAGCTGCGACGAGCGGGGCACGATCATGTCGGTGATCTTCTCGTAGTTGGTCAGCCAGTCGTTGGCCATGACCCTGGGGGATAAAGAATTCTTTAGAATCCTTTAGCTAATAAGTAATAGTTGATAACTTACTTGGGTACGATGACCAGCAGGGTGGTCAGGTACTCCGAATCCAGAATGAAGTGCTCCTTCTTAACCAGATCAGCCAGATTCCTGGTCAGCAAGCTGCCACTATAAAACGAATTATAGATTTATAAATATGTTATTATTATTAGATTTATCCTAACTTACGTCTTCTTCTTTTCCAGGTTCTGCAGATTGCCCTTGAGGTTGTTGTAGGCCTGGGACTTGGTCTTCAAATCGCCATCGATCTGACCGATCTGCTTGGAGATAATGTCGGCGATGTTGCGCAGCGACTGCTTGATCGGGTACTTGGCCATGTCCCATTGGAAGCGGGTCAAGTACTGAGGCAGTTCGGCTATTTAATTCGTAATTACAAATTATTAGTTAAATCTTTAAATCACAAAATTCATCAATTTACTTAGTTGGTCTAGCAGAACAAACGGATTGTTCAATTAATGTTTAAGTACAAAACGAAATCGAAAAAAATACATAGTAATTGTTCTAAAAGTTATATAGAATTAGATTGAAGAAAACTAAGCTCGAAAGCTATATAAAATTAAAGTTATATAAATAAGATTGTAAAAGTAAATAAAGGAACTGAAAAATGCTGGTTAGTAGTCAGATTTAAACACACGTAACATTACATTAGGTTTACTCAGACATACACACACGCACACACTTACAGGATATACATATATTAGTTTAAGATTAAAATACATTGATAAAAAGAAAACGAACAAATTTTTGGATGCATTTACAAAGGGCTACAAGGATTACGGGGGATTTGTGACTACGGATATTAGTCGCAATTAGAAATACCTTTCGTGTCACATGGCACAACACGTTAGCTCTGGACTTTGAAAACATAATGCTGTGTGATATATAATATATATATATATAGACACTCAAAGGACAAATTAAAATGCGAACAAAGCAAACATTAACTCAGAGATTGATCAACATTATTTTTTGGCGCTGGGCAAAGCTGCAGTTTTGTTATTTTAAGATTTTTTTGTGAATAGTTTTTTGGGTGATATATAGCTAGCTGGCTGAATATAGCTTAATGGGTATCGGCGTTAATCGTGGCTGTAATGATGTGGAGCGTAGAACAACATTTTGGTGATTTGGTGAGCGTACACTGAAAGAACAACATAATCGCTTTTACACTTTTACACTGGTACAAATAATCAACAGATCCGTGTATGTATATATTTATATTTAAATATAGTCAAATCGCGAGAAAGCAAAACGAAAGCGCAAACAGAAGGGGTGTTTGCAATTACCACAGAGAAAGTTGAGAAATGCAAATCAAAAGTGGCGAAAGAAGGAAGAACTTCGATACGATCACTGGGCAAAATATAGTAGTTGCTTCAACAAAATTATACAAACAGAAACTCGTCTGCGTTTGCAAATTTACTCCTGTGAGAGTGGACGACCATCAAAGAAAGTGAACAGGTTCAGAGAGGTGTGTATATAGGTGGTTTTTTGATATATAATCTTTTTTTTTTTTTTTTTTGGGAAACATCAAGTTGCTCAAGAAACAATAATGGAAAATCGGAAACATAATCAGAATCAGAATCGGAGAAAAATAAAGAGGAACGAAACGAAACGAAAGGAAACGGGAGAGCAACGGCAACATCAACATGTACACTTATAATAGGTATATGTCAACGTCGATCAAGAGATCAGCATAGTGGAAGTAGGAAGAAGGATTTTTTTTGGGTCGGTTCGGATCGGGGACCAGACCAACCCAGGCATGCTAACCTGGACTCAGTGGAAATTCGGGCGGCTCGGCGGGATCCGTGTCCGGACTGGATCGCCCCTGGCTACTACTGCCACAACAACTACTCACTGGAGACGATCTATGTGTTGGTGTTAAATTAAATCCATTGTTTATATTTAATTGACTCGGTGTAGAACGTTTGCTATAAATTTGATCGGCAAGAGAATTGAAGAAAGAGCGATAACTAGAGCGCGGTGTGGTCGATGCTTGATGCCAAAATGTCATTGCTTTGGATAGGTGTTGGTTTTGATATTGATTTTGGTTCTGGTGTTGCTGTTGTGTCTGTTGGTGTTGTTGTGGTTGTGGATTGGTCAGTGGCGGTGTTGGATGTTGCTGTTGCGTCTGTTGGTGTTGCTGTGTTGTTTCGTTTAGCTGTTGTGCACTGTTCATTGTGAGTTTTGCGAAATGCGAAATGGATGATTCGGTGATTTTGGGTGGGCGGGCGCAAAATGTGCGATGGTCGATGGGGAGTGATTTAAAAAAGAAATACATTATTATTGCATTTGATTCGGTTCTCGGTTCTTAATCAACTCAAACATTTATGGATTTTCTGGGTTTTTTTTTTTAATATTGCTGGTGTGGTGTATGTGTGGTTCTTTTGGTGTATTTGGATGAGGGCAGGCAAAGCGGGTGCGCCATTGTTTCAGTGTAATGTTGTATTTTGTGTTTATACAGCGTGTGTTTAGTGTAGTTTTTATGTTTTTTGGATTGGGTTGGGTGTTCTTTTTGGCTTTTAGCATTAGCGGGATGACAGCGGGTGACTGACTTTTCTGGTTTTGGTTTTTTTTTGGTCTGGGAGGTGCTGGCGATTTGGCAACGTTCTACAAAGTAGGTAATGCGATGATAAGATACCTGCTCTTCTTAGAGTTACGCTTGGGTTTATTGAACCACCAGTCGAAGGTGTCCGACAGATCGGACTGTACACTGTGCGGACTCTTGGGGTCCTCGTCCGTTTCCCCATCATCGGGGGCATTGGCCGTATCGCCCTCGTCTTCCGACATGGACTTTTGCGTGGGCGATTGCAGCGGATTGGTATGCATTGGCTGCGAATGCGGATGATGCTGTGGCTGCTGCTGCTGCGGATGGGAGGCCAAATGCAATTGGCTCACATGGCTACCGCTGCGAAAGCTGAGCTTATTATTGTTGATGCTGCATGTGTTGTTATTCAGCCGCTTGCTGTTAGAGCGGGACATGCTGCTGTGCACCGAGCTGCTGGTCGTGGGCGCTGACGTCGAGAAGTATGCCGAAGAGCAGAGTGTCGAGCAGGAGGTAGGCGCCCCAACACCACCGCCTGGGGTGCTGGATGCAGCTGCAGCGGCTGCGGCACTAGTACTTGGACCACTGCCCAGTCCGCTACCAGTGGCTATCGCCGCAACCGTAGACAGGGCACACCGTGTGGCACTCAGCATTGAGGAGGCTGTTTGGGAGTAACACTCGTCCGCCAGAAGCGTACTGGCTGTGGCACTGGTGCTTGGCGGGGCACAGGCAAAGCACTCGTCACATGGACAGGCATCGAACTCCGGCTCTGTTTCTGGCTCGTGTCCCGACGACAGGTTAGTCAGGCTGCCGCCGGATACGGATCCTGGGGCAAGGGCATCGCAGGCACAGGCAGGCGGAAGATTGGGGGGCGCAGGCGCAGGAGATGTGGCGGGAGAACAGGAGACTGCGGATTTACCCTTGAGATCCTGCGGCAGCTGGTGATGGTGGTGGTGGTGATGGTAGTGTTGGGGTTTGTTTTGGTGGTGCGTGTGCTGGTGTTTTCGCTGGTGTCGCAGGCTGAGATGCTTGATGCGCTGGTGGTGGCGACACGGCATGCTGTCGTCAGGTGGCCCAGGACCTGCATCCGCGCGAGATTCGATCAGAGTTTCGATAGGCGATTCACAGGATTCATTCGGATGGCGATCGGGATTCGTTTTGAGATGGAGTTTGGTGGTATTTGTTTGGTTTGGTGGTGGCGATTCAATAATACCGATACAGACAATACAACACAAGGTATTTTTTAGATTCGGTTGCAGACTTAGTTTTAGCTAGGATTTCCCTTCCGATTACGGTACGATTTCCGGGCGGGACGGTCGAAATAAATTAAAAGTAAAACTATATAGCATACATTTAGGGGCTAAACCTCACGTTTTTGCCTATAAATATCTCGATATCATCTGTTTTCATAACTCTAAAGCCGGTTATCATTCGTTATCTTCATCATCATCGAGATCAACCAAAGGCGAAACCAAAATTATACTTATCGTTTTTTAAATATCGTAAAATGAAATAAGGAAAATCATATGAGAAAAATGTAAATAATTTGAAACTCATGTGTGCGGATATGGGTTTAGTTTTTTCTATTTTCTTTTCATTTTTTCTTTGTGCGAAAAGGAATCGGAACTGAATGGGCATCCCATGAACAACAGTGGAACAAAAATAATGTAATTGGGGGAAACTCAAGGATTCCATGGTTTGATAGATGTTTGCGTCTCATTTTGTGCTTTCATTCTGGGCGTTTTATCGAATGGTACTCGAATTTTGTTTGCAGTGTAAAAGCGTTACGTTGTCGTTGTTGTTTTCGTGTTCTCCACACTTTACCAATTAGCTCTAATTGCAAGTATCTCCCATCTTTCCCAATTAGCGAAATGCGGTAGATGTGAATGGCGTATATGAAAAGGTGCACAGGAATACACACACACAGACGCACGCCCACCCACACACACACATATACACTTAATTTGGGTTAATTGGTCCTTCCAAATGCATCTCTGCACTTTGCCTTTGTGTGTGAGTGAGTGGGTTTTGGTTTTTTTGGGGCAAAAATACGGTACAAAAATAAGCGTTTTTCCAAGCGATTCGATGCAGGTGAAAAAATGAGACAACACAGATACACACGCACACACTCCAATCAAGCACACTTATACACACACACACACACACAGACAAGTACGCACAGACAACAATTACTATATAGATATACATATATGTACAGTACAAAAGTTGGCCAACTTTTACACGCACGCACTTACATAGTTATTTATACAAATAAAATAGTACATGTAAAACTCGAAATAAAAATTAAAAAATAAGTATGAGGGAACGACACTCGCGCAAAAGTTTATAGTCAAGTATTTATATTTATATATATATATATATATTTGGGTATATATGCAGTTTATGGCTCTATATCTTTACACATTAGCATTTCATTATCGTCTTCATCGTCTCATCGTTATTTTTCTCGTTCTATTTTTTGCGGTGAATGATTTAAAAACTAATGGGCTTTCAAATGACGGAAAACCACAGATAACTTTTCCAAACTGAATCGTATTGAAAACCGAAAAGAAACGTACAACAATTCATGTAAAATATACAAAGTGTTCACTGTACTCCTTCAGCGTGTGTGAGTGTGGGTTCTATTGTTTGGCATGGTGTTAAAGATATATATATATATATATGGCTATATTCGAGGCGACCTTCGACCGAGAGCACGGAGTAATTGACCGGGGATTTGGGCGCCCTTGGATGGGGCCAAAAATACGCTGGTGTGTGTGTGTGTGTATCTGTGTGTGTCTCAGCTGGCATAGTATAGTATAGTTTTAGATTTATATAGCGTGTGAGGTCGGTGCGTATTAAAATGTACAACAAACGCAACACAAAATAAACAACGCAAATTCCCATTCGGCTAATTTCTTTCGTTTTTATATTAACTCTTTTATAGTTTTTTTTTTCTTTTTTAGTTGGCCGCAAACTTTAATTCCATTGTTGTTGGATGGCACTATATCTTTTCAGACCAACTCGAACTAGAGGCCTACGTAATATCCTTCTCTATAGTGGTGATGATTGTGCGCATGAGTTAAACCAAAATCAAAATATCAAACGAAATGAAAGATTAAACCAAAAATCAAAAAGGAACTCAGAATTTTAAAGGAAAATAATGCGGGAGAACGAAAAAAAAGGTCTAGAAATTCGATCAAAATAAATGTAAGGCCTGAATAGGGTTTCGGCTGAAAATCGATTAGTTTTTAAATCTGTTTCTCGCATAATCTTGAACTACTTTAAAACGTAGATTAAAAACGTGATTGCAATAGACGGGATTCGTGTTAGTTAGGTTGGGCTTTTCTCAGATAGAGAGATAGATAGATCGAAAGAAAACATTCCATAGTAACCGATTTCTAACAGCCCATCGGTGGCTGGGATAAATAAAGGAATTCGATTTGAATCTCACTGATTGTTAGTTAATACAGAATAGTTGTGGGTAAACAATAGATGTGGGCAATACACATGGTACGATTATATCTGAGCATTCCGATTTAAAAGTGTCTACGGTCAGAAGAACTGCTTAGAAATATAACTAAAGAACCAAAACGATATAGATTCGTGACTCGGCGGGACAGGCATCACCTAACCACGTCAACTAAAACTAAACTAAACTAAACTAAACGGAACTAAGCTAAGCTAGACTAAGCTAGGCTAATACAATTTAAGTTTCTGGCAGGCAGACGACTTACTGTTGTTGGCCATCAGGTTCTCGTGCAACTTGTCCCGCTGATCCTCCAGTACCTCGCCCAAGTAGTTGGCCACCTTGCGGGTGATCTGCTCCACATAGGTATCCAGTTTGCCCAGATCATCGGAGAGACCAACCAGTTGGTCCAGGGTGCCCACCTGTGATTAGCAAAGATTATGATTAGAAGGTTGATACAAAGTCTCTGTCAAAAAGTAATATCTAAATGGATTCTATATCAGAATTCCGTGATTATATCGCTAGAACTCACCTTCAGGTCTGGTATATGGAACTTGTAGTTATTGCACAGATTGTGTTGCTTGCTGGTGAGGTTGTTCATCGTGTCGTACGTCTGCTGGCAGGTCTTGTCGCCAGGGGCCGAGATAATCCAGTATTCCGACATCATCTTGATGGCTATTTGGGAAGAGGAATATTGTGAGAGTGAGTAAAAGTCGGAGTCAATTTATCTATGACCTTGGCTAATCGATTACCCCCTCCTAAATTATGTAACTCCTCGATATCGATTGCATGACTTGAAAGTTTTTTTGCTGATTAAAATTTAATTGGCACTGTCCTTTGAGCAATTACAAATGCGCGATCGAACCCTGAAAAGTGCATTTTCTTCTGACAAAGGAGTCTCAAACCGAACCGAACGGAACCATCACAACCCCAAACTCTGGCGCCAGACAGTCGCCAGTTTGTCTATGTTTCAGTAATATATATACATATATAGTATATATTGCACAGCCCTCGTTGCTTACACAAACACTTGATCCTAGCACTCCTTGCGTCTCAACAGAATGGTCAGGAACTTTTCCACCAGGTTTTTTGGCATTTTCCCCCTTGGCCACTGTTTTATTTGGGGTTTTCCTCTACTCCGTTTGTTTTTCCCTACTTTCTCCGGTTTTGCCACATGCTGCCGTGCTTCTATGTTGGTTGTTCGTTGCCAAATGAACGCTGGCATAACGACCAGATGCCATGGAAGTCGGAAAAGCGAAAAGTGCCGAAGTATCTGCGATCCGATTCGTTAGCCGAATCCGAAAGCCGTTGATGACGAAGCCGCACGGAAGGCACAAAAGGCAAAAGGAGCCATGGCCGAAAAACCAAAACGAGTGCTCAATTTGGGTAAGTGTCGCTGACTCCTAGCGTCGCTACTCCTCTATTTGCTCCTGCCACAGGGCGTATGAGTAATCACACAGCAAACGCCACGAGATATAAATCTAACTTTACCCAATTTCGGCCTATAGTGGGCACTGTTATTACATAACCACGATGATGGCCTTCACAGAGAGACACGAAAACAAAACACGAGCCCAAGGAGTGACAACAAGCTATCTCCGGCTCCAGATCCTTTTCTCCTACCCCACATCAAAAGTCAAGGCAGTGCATTGTCCTCGCCCAGGAAGCGTCAAAAGCAGCAACAACATTAATGACTTCGAAGGGAGGAGGGGCGGTAGTGACAACAGCAACAATCCTGGCAACAGACAACAAGGAAATGGAAAATGCTATATGGAAACACGCTAAGAGAAAAATATTAATGGAAAATTAAGGTTATGAATGACATAACTACATGATCGGTCATTCTTCTAAGTTTAGTTTTGAAAGGTCTATTTGGTTATAGATACATATTGAGAACTCGTTTTTAGGAATAGGTTTTAGGAGTATAGGAATATTCATACAAAAGTCAACCAACTACAAACTGAGGATTCAGAAACATTGTTACATTAAAATTTCGCTCGATCAAAGTCCGAATAATATTACTTATAGAACAGACCGAAAAACCATATCTTAACATATCCTGACAAGTGAAATGATATGAAATCGATATGGGAATATAATTATCTATTTATCTACGTCATAGTTACTAAAGTTGCCTAATTAACAACGCGTGTTTAGTCTGCTTATCCAATATACCTGTTCGATATTCTACAAAAGATGACTTGCAAACTAGTACGACGAAGTAACTATGCTTTATTTTCAGTGCACAACTACGTATGTTTATTTTTAGCAGCGAAAGTCAAATTGTTGCGGGGCGAAAGGGAAGAACATATAGATAGATAGGGAGGACTAGGAGGAGGCGGAGTTACCGACTGTTATGCTGCCATGTTGAACTGGTGACGTGGATTGGCCCGAGTCCAAGGGAAAAGCGAGGATAAAGGGGCGATGGGCGGAGGGCTCCAGCCAGTGCGTCGCCAGCCGTTTGGAGACAGTCTGACTGGCCAACGGCTGGCGCTAATGGAAAGGGCCTGGGGTCTGCGTCCTTATCCATATACCAATCCCGATCCCCATCATACCCATAGCCACAACCAGTTGGGGTAGTCCAAAGCCAATACAGGAAATTGCAGCAACGAAAACAAAGGACAATAAAAAAAGGAACAAAGCGAAAACAAAGTTTTGACGATATCCTCGCCGCAGTGGGTGTGCGCCCAAATTAATTAATAATAATGTGCTTGCCGGGGGGTTTGGATTATGGGTTGGCGTTGGGTGTTGGGCAGTGGGTGGCTCAGGAGACCTTGCACTCACACAACAACACAGATAAGCACGCGCTGGAATTCCAGCAGCTGTTTAGCCATTTGAATTTCCGCCTTATTGGCCATGTTTGACTTTCGCCTCGAGTTTGTAAAGTATGTATCGTATACAAAATATATCTGGTCGCTTTTCACCAAGGTCCTTGTTGCACGCAATTCCAATATTTATTAGTCCTCGTGCGGCGTAACTAAAAGTATTTGCTTGTTTTTGCACAACATGATCTATTAATCATAGAAATACGTGCTTTGTGGAAAAATAACCGAAAATATTCGCGTTTTTTAAACAAAAAATTTTAGTTTATTTTGTTTACCCAAAAGAGAGACAGTAAGCGAGATTGGGAGAGCGGAAGAGAGCGTTCATAAGAGAGAGCTGCTGTCTCTCTTCACCACTCGCCGTGGTGAGTTACTCTCACAGTGTCAGCTGTTCGTTGACAGTCACATGACAGTTTTTCGATCGATAATTTTCCGCTGCTCACGGGTTTTTATTCGAGCACGGAAAATCAAAACACTTTTCACATATTTTACCCGACTAACCGCCCCCGACCCCTGTTGACTTCCACTTGGATATTTCTAGATATAACCGCTTGCCTAGCGGCAATCTGCAGCCTAACAAACTGGCAGAAAAACTCTTATTTTCAGGGTCACACTGCTTTGCAAATAATTCATAGCCACATTGCAAAAACGCATTTTTTCACTATCTTTGATTTTAATTATAAAACAGCTGAGCACTTTTTCTTGGGTCAGCAGACCTACTGCGATGTAGTAATCGTGTTCTTTTTTCGGACGGAGGGGGAACTTTTGCACTTTTCACGACGACGTGGAAAAACCGCCGAATTAACAGGTTCTTAGGCTTTTCACTTACTTATTACAGCTCTGGTTGGTTGGAAGCGAAACAAGTGTGCTTTTTGTGCTATGTGAAAACAGCGAGCTGCGTTTTTCTCTGCCAAAAAATCAGCGCAAATCGACCGCCGCCACCCACAAATGCGAACGAAATTGTGTGGTGAGAAAAGCGCTGGCTGAAAAAGTGACAGTTCACAATCCCGACCGAATTCACGTGATGGTGGTAGTGTTGAGTAGCTTTCGAGGCAAACAGCTGATTCCATAAACAGCTGTTACGCCGTAAGCGCTCTTCAACACTGCCCGGCTGAGGTGCCGCAGTTTCGTTGCTTAATTTTATTCGGAATTAGTTTAGTTTTAAACATATCGCCCGCCCTGGACCATTAATATTAGCATGTAAGTGAAAGTGTGCTTTACACTAATCTGTGTTCTACTGGACAGCGGTAGTGGACGGAGCAGTGAGATGTATAACCCGCTGATGTAACCAGAAGTCGGAAAGAACAATATGTGTGCAATTAGGAATTGGTAATTGTTAGTCGAAGGAAATATGTTTTCCAAGAGTTTTCCCAGCTGTGTGTGATATTGATAATCGGAAAGGTATAACTTTTCAGTCATGAGAGTTGCTATGGCCTGGTTTCATAACCCTGCCCCCAAAAACCCTGCTTATCTCCCGGCTCTCAAATACACGTGTGCCTTTTTCGGGAGCACCACAACCTTTGACCTCCTCACCCCCTTTTTCAACTCCACACCCTATATACACAACAAAAAATATATATACAAAAAGGGAATTGATTCAAGAGCAAACAATTAGCCAAGTGCGCAACAGTTCCAGGAAATGTTTACACAAATATTTCCCAATTTCGAAGTGCTAAAAATAAGCACACAAAAACCACAACAGTGCCCCTTTCCTTTCCCATCCCCTTCAATAATACTTTTCCGCATAAGCAGTGCATCCATTTCCATACTTAATCCCAAGGGCTGCTTAGGCACAGCGTGTGAGCTTAATTTCGAACTTAGCACTTGGAGAAAATGGTGTTCCAATTGCCTTGAATTTCTTGAAATTAAAATCCCCAAGAACTTAAGTAATGATTCATACTTTTACCCAATGAAACACAATATTGCCTCATGTGGGCATCATCTGATTTTTGCCTTTCCTCTGACTTTTTCATTCATTAATTATATTATATAATTGATATAAAATTTCCATTCCCAAACATTTGTCGAATCATTGGATTTGATAATACATTAATAAAGTTAAACTGTTGTTTAATCAAGATCCTAAGATCATCTTGTATGGTTTAGGACTTGTCCTACTAATCAAAGATTATTTACATTTTAGTGGTATCTATCTTGCTATCTAGATGTTTAGATATTGTGTTTACCCACTGAAATTTTTGGAACCATTAATTGTAAAATAGCAAACTAATCTTCAGAATTCTTCACAGATGAACACTTTATATTTGAAATTTCATCGAATTTTTCTTTTGCTAAACTTTTCTGAGGAAAGCCTTTAAAAAATTAGACGTTTGATGATTCACTTCCATTAAGAAAGACAATACAAATTGCTAAACCCTTTTTCCCATTGTGTACTTGCGTTAAAATGTCAAAATGTCCTATCTATACGGTAGAACATACTATACGTATATTGCAGGAATTGTTCCGGGCTTATCAGCGATTGGCAGCAGCCTTTGATCTTTACCCTATCGCAAAAAGCCACGACTATCTGGGGAATATCTATATATTCCGGCGACTTCTTAGCCCCCAGACGCTCGTGCTCGCTGGCCGTATCTAAGCGATAAATATTTCCCGTAATTATGCACGATCGCTATTTGTTCGCCGAGCGCTTTCAGCAATTGGCATTGACTTACAGCGCCTATTCTCGCCTCTGTTTGCCGTTTGCCGTTTGAGGCCTCTCCGCTGCCAATACCGCCGTCATGGTCATATTCATATGCCAGTGCAGTGGCTCGATGGCCGTCAGTCCGCGGAGAGATTCGATCGAGTGAGCCTCGCGCTTCCCCAAAACCTTTCAAAATCTAAAAAAAAAAAAGTTCCAGTCCGAAAAGTGAAAACTTATTGTCAATAGGCCAGTAGTCGCAGGTGCTAACTGTAACGGTAAACATGTCAATCGCTTTTCGGGTTTGGGCCACAAACACACGCATACTCTTATCGGTTATACAATATAGACGCGTGTTTTTTTTTCGGTAGGGGAATCGGTTAGTGGGCATGACCCACTTATGGGTGAAGACGCTCCCAACCTGTCCTAAAATACTCCACCGTACAAAATGAATCCTATTTTTATCTGAAATTAAATAAAAATGAAAAAAAAGAACTAAAGACAATTCCAGTTTTAGGATCAATGAATGATAGTTAAATTATATATATATAATTTAAATGGTAGTTATCAATAATAATAAACTTGTTTCTGTTTAAAGAATCATTGAAAAGCGATTTATAAACAGTACTAATTAAAAACAAGATTTTAGCAAGTGTACTAGCAGTTAAATTTAAATGTTATTTTATTCCGTTTAGTGACTTGTTTTAAGTAAACTTTTTTATTTTTACAAAAGATATCTGCATCAACAACTTGTTTAGAACTTAATTTATATAATTAGTACTGAACGTAATTAAATTAACATGATTCTAAAATAAAATACAAATTCCAGGAAATATTGCTAAATCAAATTGGTTTTAGCACTGGTTCATTGCTATATATCAATATTAAACATGTAGCTAGCATATTCCATAGATTAGTACATTATTACAACTCCCAATTTTTTATTGTGTAGCCACAGCATCCACGCCCTCTGTCCCTTTTGGGTTTTGGGCTTGTCGTCTTGGCTTACATTTATTGTGATGCGTGTGTTTTGGTTTACTTTACTTTGGCTTAGTGTTCTCTTTTATGAAGTTCGACTGAGCGAGGGAAACTTTCTCCGCTTTTGCCACTCTCTCTCTTTCGGTCTCTCAGCCAGAGGGAAATCTGTTGGTCCCCTTGCCATTGCCAAGTCGGCGCCACTGCCTCGAAGACTTTGATGACTTCTTCAGCCCAACTCAAAGTCACTGGCTTACACACGTCCAACGCAGCTCGAGCGTGCAACAGGTTGTCTCTGCCCTCTCGTCCAATTTGTAAGCATTATAAATACGCCGTGATTGCGCGGGGAGAAAGTTTCCCAATGCCAATTGGCAGTGGAATTCGGGCCACATCGAGAACTCTGCTTAAATTAAACTCAGTGCTACTTAAAGAACCTCCAAACATTAAGTGAAAACTTATGATTTTTAGTTTCAGTTGAAGTATAACTTTGCAGTTAGAACATAAATTTTGTAATTTGTCCGGTTTTATATCGAAAACATTACTAATCATTTCTCACAAAAACTCTCTTACAGAGCTCAGGATTAAATAGATAACCGGTAACAATCATGGCATCCCACTGGCCCCAGAACGTTGGAATACGCGCCATCGAGGTGCTATTTCCCTCCCAATACGTGGACCAGACGGAGCTAGAGACCTTCGACGGTGCCTCCGCGGGCAAGTACACAATTGGCCTGGGTCAGGCCAAGATGGGATTCTGCTCGGACCGCGAAGATGTTAACTCGCTCTGCCTGACGGTTGTGAGTCGCCTGCTGGAGCGGCACCACGTAAAGCATTCGGAGATCGGCCGACTGGAAGTGGGAACCGAGACCATTGTGGACAAATCCAAGTCAGTGAAGTCAGTGCTGATGCAGCTGTTTGTTGAGAGCGGGAACACCGACATTGAGGGTATAGACACCACAAACGCTTGCTACGGTGGCACGGCAGCGCTCTTCAACGCCGTCAACTGGGTGGAATCTTCCAGCTGGGACGGCCGCCTGGCTCTCGCAGTTTGTGCTGATATTGCTGTGTATGCCAAGGGTGCTGCGCGACCAACTGGCGGAGCTGGTGCGGTGGCCATGCTAATAGGTCCAAATGCGCCGCTGGTCCTGGATCGTGGACTACGGGCCACTCACATGGAGCATGCCTACGACTTTTACAAGCCGGACCTCAGCTCTGAGTATCCCACTGTGGACGGAAAGCTCTCTATTCAGTGCTATCTATCCGCTCTGGATACTTGCTATAGGTTGTACCGCAAGAAGTTCAACCAGCAGCAAAAGGACAGCACGAAGGAGTCGGCCAGCCTGAGCACCTTCGACGCCATCCTGTTCCACACGCCCTTCTGCAAACTGGTGCAGAAATCTGTGGGTCGTCTGAGCTTCAATGACTTCCTGCTGAGCAGCGAAGAGGAGCGAACGAAGCAGTTCCCGGGACTGGAGCGATTCAATAGCTCCACTTTAGAAAGCACTTACTTCGATCGCGACGTTGAGAAGGCCTTCCTTACGCAGTCTGCGGATATCTTTGCCAGCAAGACCAAGAAATCGCTGCTGCTAGCTAACCAGGTGGGCAACATGTACACCCCGTCGGTGTACTCGGGCCTGGTGTCACTGTTGATTGGAGAGCCGGCCAAGGAATTGGTCGGTAAACGCATTGGAGTATTCTCCTACGGATCCGGACTGGCAGCCTCTATGTACTCGATAAGTGTGACCCAAGATGCTGAAGCTTTTGAGAAGTTCGCCTCGAAACTAGACTACGTGCAGCCGCTGCTTAACTCACGCGAAAAGGTTGCCCCTGAGCAGTTCTCCGCGCTGATGGAGGTGCGAGAGAAGAACAACCATGCGGCGCCATACACGCCCACTGGCAGCATTTCCGCCTTGTTTCCTGGAACCTTCTACCTGAAGGATGTGGATTCGCTGCATCGACGCACCTACGAGCGGACGCCAACCATCAGCAATGGGGTTCACTAACCCCGGGCTATTGGTTCTTTTGGTTTGGTTCTGGTTTCCAACTTGACAATAAACTATCTAAACTATCTCGACCAAACCCATGTAAGCTGTAGCTGTAGACGGTAACTAATTATAACTGGTGTGATCCCAGGGGTCGCTTTACTTTCTCTCTTCGTATCCGGGTCCTAATCGCATATACATATATAGTACTACACCAATTATTTATACATTGCTTGCGAATTAACTCTTTCATCCAGTCAGACCTTATTTATACCATGGAACAAGTCTTAATTAGCGTCGGTACTGCAATTTATGCCTATAAATGTACAATACTTATACCTGTGTGTAAGGCACACAATCAATTGTTTTACGAACAATAAAAATCAACAAAGTCAAACAACCTCTTCAATTATTACCTCTTGTTTATTATCGGAATTAACCTATTACACATCTCATCTTCGCAATCTTGATGGGCAATATGGAATGATGGGTACAAAAAAGAGCATATTCGATTTGATGGCAGCGGCTTGTTTTGCATATCTTCAGATTACAACGCTGTAAACTTGTAGAAAGTTACGCCTGAGGTCGATAGAAAATATAAATTAATTAAGGTCTGGATTAAGTTTCGCGACAAACTTTACCATTAGGATTGACGCGTGTGATGAACTGACTCTCTGATTGGAAGACTCCCATTTTATTGCTGGCATCGTATAGGTCCTGCACTCTATATCCCTTGGGATTGTTCAGTCCGAGATCTTTGATTGTGAAAGGGATCCTGTAGGGAGCTCCATCGTCCCGACGACTGACAAAGGCCACAGCATACGAGTGATGTCCACTCTTGGCCACCGGTGTAATGGGTCGTTTCCAGACTTCTATTTGGTTACGGGTTAAGACTCGACGTCCCTGGATGCCGAGCTCATCTTGGTCCACTGCAATAACCTCACTAGTAAGAAAAGTTCTTTAGCATTAAACCAATAGGAAAACAATGAGACAACTAACCGATTCTGTAGAATATCTCTAATCTCAGGACGCACTGCGGCCAGATCATTAGACATAATAAGAGGTGCTGCCATTATCGCCCAAATGGCCATCTGAAGTTTGCTCTGATCGTAACTTAAACCATAGTTTCCCAGGAGGAGCATATCGGGATCGTTCCAGTGTCCTGGTCCACCATGCGGCTGAATTCTGTCTTGGTTTTTGGCAAAGTAGTCGATGATCTGCATTAGAGATTCCAGCGAATCATCAATATCGTCCCAGTTGCGCCACAGATTACAATGCTTCTTGAGAGACTCATAATCAGGCATCTCGCCGGCATCCTCTTGATAAGCTGGCCAACTGCAGGAGTACACCATCGGACGACCTGTTTCATTCAATAGGCGACCAAACTCTGGATAACCTGTTGCCATGTCGCTGATATTGGCATAGCAGCCATCCAACTTTACATAGTCCACATCCCAATCTGCAAAGGTCTGGGCATCCAGCTGCATATGCTTGATCACTCCTGGATAACCAGCACAGGTATTAGTTCCATAATCCTGGTACAAACCAAACTTCAAGCCCTTGTCATGAATCTGTAAAATAAGTTAATGTAATGGGATTTCTAATGAATATAAATCTTATAAATTACATGATCGGAAAGAGCATTTAATCCGCTGGGAAAACGCTTCTTGTCTGGCACAAGCTTTTGGGTATCGTTGTCGCGATGCTTCTCCAGCCAGCAGTCGTCAATGATGATGTATTCGTAGCCAGCTTCGGCGTATCCTTCGGAAACTAAAAGATCAGCATGTCTCCGGAAAAGTTTTTCACTGAAAGGGGTTCATAAAGAGAAAAACTTGGAGAATTTGATTACAATTTGGATGAGTTTCGGCTTCTACCTGATGCACTCGTCAGGATAAAGTTGACAGTCAGTCAAGCAACGGAAACTGAAAGTAATACGAAGGTAAATCTCTTAGTATCACCGAAATATTCAGTAAAATTTACTTAAACTCTAGAAATATATGTTAGTATGTTATTATATGTATTGTTATTAATAATCACGAGAATGTAGACTCCTAATTAAAAGAAAAAACAAATCTAAACACTTAGTAACATGATTAATAAGAATACAAGTTTACTCACCGCTCCCAGGACATCCAACCCATGGGTGGCCTGAAAGTAGAAAAATTCAATTTAGTAAAACAGAATCCAATCAGTATTAATGCTTACTTGAGAGCTAGACCATTATCGAGTCCCAGTGATAGTTGCAGAACCTGTAGCAGGAGGATCCCGCCCAGAAAGACGCCCCACGTTCTGTACATTGTCAGCTATTGGCACCGACTGAATCCTGGCCTTTGGTCTGCCAGGGAATTTATATTCTTCGTTGCGGCGGCACTCTAGATAAGTTTGTTTGCCCGGGCCACCTGAAGATTTGGAGGAAGGGGAAAATAGGAGCTGAAGACCCGGCAGAAGGTTAGTGGCTAATTGCTATTGCAGTGGAGCACACCCATCGACTGATTGGTGTGTTCGCCGGGTGGAACAAACAGCAGGCTTTTTTTTGATTGCAGGAGGAGCCGGTGCCCCTCTTATCACGTCAAGTTCACAGCGATCATAGGGAGCAAACGGCGAAAAGCGCGGAGAGAACGGCGGCTTACTGATATGCTTTTGTTGTTCAATTCTGGCGCTGTTTGCCAACTAAACTGGCCTACAAAACTGGGGAACTTTCGGGTAGCACAGACTATGGGGCTAGTGATGGGAAATATTTTGTAACTTCCTACGTATATATAAACATACATATTCTTCATGTAAGCTATAATAATTATAATTGATTAATTTGTTTATTTTAAAATATTTTTATCTGCCAAAATTGTATATGTAGCTTTAAAGAAAAAAAAAATAACGCTTTCTAACGGTTTTTATTACATACATATATTTTAACCGTAACTAAATTCAAATTACTTACAACATAAAATTATTAATATATTGGATGGTGAATCTTGAAAAACAAGTTAGCAATATTAATTTAACAAAACAACGTTTAGATATAAGATATATTATAATGAATACTATATAACTTTGGTCATTAAAACAATCAGTACTTTGTAGGTCTTAGAATTTTACCTGTTCCAGCTCTGAAAGTAATGTAATTATTCCCATCTGATAGTGACTACATACATACATATGTACATATTTACTTTCATGTGTTTTGCTGAGTTAGCCAAATGCAATTACAGAACCAAGTGCCGTTGCACTCCAATTATATTTTTGACCCAAATGTTACCTTATCGCATTTCCACTTTCAGATAACGAAGATGACTAATTAAAGCCGGTGTTTTGTTATTGATTTTGTCATTCACTTTTTTGTAGTTTCTATGTTATTGCTTTCCAATTACCTTTTAATAAGCTCATTCAAGTTGCGCGGATTTTTGCTAAATATAACCCTATCTGCGGCTTAATAATAGCACGGAGCCAGTGTTGAGTAACCGAAGTGAAAAAGAATAATTTAAATATTTTAAATATTTTAAAATTTACTTTGTTTTATAATTATTTAAATTAAGAAATTGATTATCTAATTATCCTATTTACGATCATAATAGGTTTCTGTTCATGTTGGTGAGAATATTTATATAAATTTTATTTAATTTTAATTTACGACCTATTTACGTTACTTGAAAAAACTCTAACGCATGCCTCCTGGTCTACAGATTTCATTTCATTCTTTTATATAATTTTAATTTACGACCTATTTATATTACTTGAAAAAACTCAAACGCATGCCTCCCGGTCTACATATTTCATTTCTTAGGAACAAGATATCACTTTTTTGATGCCTGTTCTACAAGACTGTAGCTTTAAGATTATTTTATTCACTTTGTCAATTTTGTCAAAAACCCGCAATGTTATTTTTAAAAGCTAACTGCCTTATGGAGTAGCTTGAAAGTAGCTAATTTTGACATCGACATCAGCTGTTTTCCAACACTGATACCATAGGAAAACACAAGGAGGGGTGACACTGGTTGTTTTTGGCGTGTTTTCGTTTGATTGAATTGCAATTTTAATTTTTACTTGTCGCAAAGGATCTTGAACATGGTATTCCAATTGCCCACGACCACCGCCGCTCCGGCAGCAGGTGCATTCTCCTTCTCCTTCGGCCTGAACTCGGGAACACCCGCTGCAGCCGCGGCTCCAGCAGCACCAGCTGCCGTTCCCGCCACAAAACCAACATTCTCATTCGGTGGCCCTACAGCTACCACCGCTAATGCTGGTGGCGGAGATGCCGACAATTCAAAGGCTCAGGCACCACCTGCATTTGGTTTTGGTCTTGCAGCACCGGCTGCAGCTCCTCTTACGCTGGGCAATCAAGCCGCAAATCCTGTGTCGACTTCGGCGGCAACGATTGGAACTTCCGCTGCTCCACCTGCTTTTGGTGGCTTCATGTCTCAGCCAACGGCTGCGGTAGCGCCAACCTTAGCTACTAGTACAGCGAATACAGCAGCTCCCACCACAGGATTGCTGGGAGGCACTGGATTAGGAGTTGCCAAGAGCACTGCGGCTGCGCCAACAACTTTGACAGCAGCTCCAGCCGCTATAGCGCCGATACTAGGAGCAGCAGCGGCTCCCACTCTAAGTACAGGCGGAGCTTTTGCCAATCTAACCACTGAAACCAAAACCACAGACTCTTCTGCCGTGTCTACCGCTTCCCAATTGTCCTACAACCAACTCGAAGAGCATATCAACAAGTGGACCCTAGAGTTTGAGGAGCAGGAGAAGGTATTTACCGAGCAAGCCACTCAGATCAACGCTTGGGATAAACTGCTTATCAGCAACAATCAGAAAATTGTCGAGCTCAACGATGCCGTGAAAAAAGTGAAAACCGATCAACAGGTTCTTGACCAGGAGCTTGAATTCATAGCTACTCAGCAGAACGAGCTTGAAGATAGCCTTGCGCCACTGGAGAAAGAGTTCGTGAATCTCCCAAAGGTGGACATGGAGCGCAGCCAGACTTATTTGATGGTGGAGAATCTAGATACGCAGCTAAAGCAGATGTCTGAGGACTTGAAAGAGATCATAGACAACCTAAATGAAGCTAACAAGGGCCAAGACACCACTGATCCGATCATCCAGATTGGCAAGATCCTCAATGCCCACATGAGCTCACTGCAGTGGATCGAATCACAGTCGTCGAACATCTGCAAGAAGCTGGACGACATCGGGAAGATTCAGGATACCCAGAAGAGAGATATATTCCGAGCCCCTTACTAAATATTAGGACCTTAATATTTGTTAACTTAAATAAAAGATTCATTGTAACTACTAAAAAAGACATGTTCTTATAATGCCTTTTTAAAGTATTTAGTTTTATATGATTATAGAATCTTTTAGTTGTTTTTCCCTCCACATAAAATTACACACTTTTTTACATTATAATATTTTATATAAATCATACAGCCTTCAATTAATAACTCTTGAAGTATTTAAGCCTAAAGAGCGGCACCTTTTTTCCCTTAGTGGCCAGGGCCAGGAAACTGCTGTGCGGCGAAAAGGCCATTGAGGATACATAGCCAACGTTTTCGGTCTGTGCCGGGAAGTTTGAGAAGACTGTGGCACTGGGGAAGTGGGCCAGCTTTATGGTGTTTGGTGCCTCAGCAGAGCTCATTGCCAGCAGCTCGGATGAGTGATTAAACTGTAGACTCGAGATGCTAGTCCTCAGGTTCATGAAGCGCTTCTCGGGCTGCGGGGCTTTAGAAGCGAACACGGTCTCGTAGTCGTAAATGTTGACTACGCCCTCTTCGCTGCCAGTGGCCAGAAGGCGTTGATTGGGCGCCAGTTGGATGCACTGACCATTGATGCAACCGTCGTCCATGAAAATGTGTTCAATGAGGTTCTGTCGCAGGTTCAGAACAGTAACATTGGAACTGGAACCGCAGACCAGGACTCTTTTGGAGTCCCCAGACCATGCGAGTCCTTTCACATTGCCCTCCTGCTTGAAGCTATGCAACAGCTCATTTGTGTTGGCCGTCAGCAGATGAATGGCTCCAAACTTGCCAGCACTGACAATGAATTTGCCACAGGGTGATACTTCAAAACGGTTCATAGTCATAGACTCGTCCGGTAGCGTCAGCTTGGTTTCCTTGGCTTCCAGCAGGTCGTAGGTGTAGTAATATCTTCTTACGGAACCGAAGAACGCCTTCGTGCCGCAGGGAGCAATTCTGGAGCAAAGCAATGGAAATTTTTTGAAACGCATGCTATGCAACTTCTCGTTCTTATGTCCGTCCACCGTATAGATGGTGGCTATTGAGTTTTCGCTCGCCACTAGAGCAGCAGTACTAGTTGGATGAAACTGGATGCTGGTGGTCAACCCTTCAGTATAGGCGGCTCTGTTTAGATCCTTAACTCTTTTGAAGTTCAGCGTTTTCTGAGGCATATCACTGCTCCGAGCTTTGCGGTCGATGAAGCCCACCGTCTTGAGAAGTTCTTCGTCGGAGGAGAGGTCTTCCTCGTCGTTGCCCTTCACCTTCTTCTCCGCCCACTTGGGTTGGTTTAGAGTGCGCTGGAATCGCGCCGTGAGGTACTCCTTGTAGGATTTGTCCTTGCGCAGGTGGTTCAGGGGACCTGTGTGCTTGGTGGCCCTCTTAACATCGCCCACTTGAATGTCTTCATCATCGGAATCCGACCAAGCGGCTTTCCGCTTGTCACCAGCTTTCTGCTGGTCGGGATTTTCCTCATCCTCGTCCTCATCTACGCTTTGCTGCCACTTTTGACCCACGGATTTGGCCAGATTGGTAAGGAATCGCTGCCTGTCGCCAAAGATCACCTTTTCCATAGGAACCTCTACATAGTTGAGTTCTTTGGCCTGGGAGGCCTTCGGAATAAAACGTTTCTTTTGATTCTCGCTCGGTTTTTTGTCCTCCTGCTTGCCATACAAGGCCATCAAGTCCTTGAGCTCCTCCAATCCATCACTGGACTCGTCTGAACTCATGGTGATTGCCGAAAATTGCCCAAAAATGCGTTTATTTACGACAGTTTTCGTGCTGGGCACAAAAATTTACACGTGCAGCTGGGCGGGAAACGTACTAACGCCTTCAAATCAAAATACCAAGCAACATATGAGTTATCGATAAGTGTTACCACATCGATATCAGAAGTGAATAAATATCAGAAGTAGAGCGCCAAAATTTAAATGTATGATAATAACAATAAATATTTAAAATAAATACAAATACAAATACATCATTTAATGCGTATTGTTTCTATTTCTGTTAAATCACAAATTAGTTTTTATAATAATTATATTTTTTAGTTATGTTCCATCCTAACTAAGAGACTAGGACTAGTTCGTTTCCTTGTTTTCAAGTTTTTGCTTCTTTTTGGCAATGGGTTCGTGGCATATCTTTAAATGACGGTTAAGGAAACCTTCATATCTGTACAACCGCCCACATCGATCACAACAAAAAGTGGGCGTTTTCTTGACCGGAACAGTTTTCTTTTGGTTCTCCTCTTGAACTTTTAGGTTTTTGATGCAATCGTCGCAGGCGTATCGACGGGACACCTGGCCAGGTTTAAAACAGGCTAAGAAACCCTTTCGACAGAAGAGACATTGGAAGAATTTGCTGACTGTGTACTCATCGTCATCGGATTCATCCTTGGATTTTCGCTCCTTCAAATGGCTTTCTAAATGGGTCCGATACTCCAGTTCCGTCTCGAAGTTGATTTTGCAGGCTGCGCAGCGTCGTTTTACTGGACCACTTCCGTGCACGAGCCGGTGGCTACTCAGGGATGACACAGTGGAGAAGGTCTTCTTGCAAATGCTGCAGTGCAACTGGGGCGTTCCTGTTCCATGAATCCCCATCGTTTCGAAGCGTTTTTCGCAGGCTTTAAGATGCACCTTGAAAGCACCGGCAGTTCGAATTCCATTTCCACAATACGGACAGGTGAAAAGGCTTTTGTTTTCCTCGGGAAAAACTTCAGTTTTTCGTTCCGCCAGCGGCTTTTTCTTACTCGGTTCCTTGCAGGGAGTTACGTAGACCCTGGTAACCATACCATTATTCTCCGTCACCGAGAGCAGAGTAGCTGGTTCCAGAGCCATAGGAATCCAGTCACTATCACTTGTCATGATGCCTTTTGTGTTTTGCCAGGGCGAAAGGTAAAAAGAAAGTTTGTCTGTCATTCTGTTTGATGGATAGAAAGTAGGTACTCGATACTCGATACTCCAAAATTGCCAGGGCTGGCAAAACCATACTACAAAAATTCTACCTTTTTTGAATTTTTGCGTAACGCTTTTAACATTTAAAAGCCTGAAGAACGACTAATGAATAATACTTTAATTCTTATCGAATCAGTTTAAGTAAATAAATCATAAAATATATTCTTGTTTAGTTACCAAAAAGGTTTATCAACCTTGAGAGGAACTCTAAAATTCAAGAACATGTCTTCCGAGTGTCCTAAATCCCCGCCCAACTCCTTCCATTGTGGTAAGCTTCGGATCCTTGCTTTATGACACGCGTAATGCGAGTCAAAATATGCAATTAAACAAAAACTTCTTGACTGGAAAAATATTTGCATAACTTGGGCAAACAAATGTCGGAGCACGTCGTCCTCGTCACCAGTCGACAATGCCGAGTTGTTGTTGAACTTGTCATTACACACGCACAAACAGGGAATACCAGTCATCAGTGCCACCCACTATCCACCCAACCATCTAACCACCCATCACCCCATCCTCCCCACCGGCGAGGAGGGTGGTGCTCTCACTAAAGTGTGGATTAATAGCTGGGGTGGTGCTGCTGCCAGAAATCAGCGCTCGTAAAATTTACGTAAAATTCATTAAGCGCAACAAAAGACGCTGGCTGGCGGGGAAACAGGTTGGGTGAAAAAAAGGGGGGCGGCTGCAATCGCTTAGAGACAAAGCTCTGCATAGTTGATAAGGCGCGTCCTTTGTCGGGTTGAGGGTGAGGTGTAGAGTGGGTGGTTCCTTTGGGTTGAGTGGCTAGGTGGCCGGGTGATGGCTGACATCTTGTGGTGCCCGCAAGTAAGTGTCTCCTGCCAAGTCAGGCGTCAAGCCTCACTGAGAGCAACCAATTTTTGTCATTTCAAAGGATACAGCGTTATTGTTGCGCCATCAAGGCGCTGCTACACTTCAAAATAATATTTCATAAATATTAAACATCATTTTTATTAGTATCAAAAATTAGCATAAGAAAGTGTGTTTTAAAAAGGAAAATTCAGTTTTTTAACGAATTAGCATGGGAAAATATTCAAAAGTAGGTGCATAAATGCTTAGCACTAAGTATTTGCCTTTTTTTCAATACCTTAGAAAACTCTTAACATTTTCCAAGTAACTAAAGCTTAACAAATCTCTGCATTTTTGAAGAGTGCTCTTAACCCTTTTCACCGCCCACTTCTAATATCCCTCAGCTCTTGTGCAGCGAGGCGCGGCTATTCAGTGTGCGCTCCTTAAGTAGCCCGACATTGTGGCAGATCCTTTGCAATCGCAATCCCATCTCCTGGCTTCCAGCTCCCTGATCCTGACTCTCGACTCCCGTCGACTGACAGATTAGCGTGTTGACATTAAGTTTGTCCTTTGGCAGTGTGTAGGCTAACATATGGCCCGTTGGCTTTAAGTATCGGGCGATTCCAGCTGCACATGCAAATGCCGCTGATGGGGCCACGCATTACAGCATGTTGCGGTCGCTTTTGATAGGCGGCAGCAGCTGGGTCTGAGGGCGTGGCTTTTGTCTCCTGCCTCCCGTAACCCGTATCCTGGTTGATGGCTGTAACTCCTGTGGCATGTAATGAGTTTTCCATTGCCCCGCACACGTTGCATCAGGTTTCTCATACCTCTACGTAACCGCTGATTTGTGTGGCTGATAATGGGACGCGTGGTAATGCTGGTAATTAACGTCTTTCAGTCCACCGATATCGGTATATATTGATGGCCATTGTCAAGGGCGAGCTTTATTTGACGGAGCGGAGCCTTCCTTCCCAACATTGGCCAACAAACAGAATTAAGCCAAATGGAAAATCAAGCCACATAAAGCATAATACTTTGTTGGCCAAATATTAGAGAACAATGGTGATTGACAGTTCCGGTCAAGGGAATAGCATTTAATTGGTCATTATCATATTTTTTGTGAAAACTTCAAAAAAAGGTTAATCCTTTTTTGTATGAAAATCCATTTTATTAACCTGAAAAACCCTTTCAAATTAAAGAGTAATTGTTTCCAGATCAATTTCTACTACCATGAGCGTGTCTAGAACAAATGGAAATGTCTGTGAAAAACTATTGAAAGCTAGCTGAAAATGGCCGGGAAAATAAAACGCTTGCGGCTAACGCTTTCATGTCGACCATAAAAATAGCAGACGCATAAAAAATTAATAAGCGGTGGCCAGTGAGGACGACGCATTGCCGTTGTTCTTGTCTCTGGAATAAAAAAAAGGAACCCTTCTGTCCTGAAACCTTGCCCAGTGGCCCTTTCCGCCCCCTCAACTCATGACTATTGTCCACTGTGGCAGACATCATTAATGCATAATTCAAGCGTTTGGCAGTTTTGTGCTCGATGCTTTCAATATTCAATTTGAATGCCGCCCAAAGCGATTCGAAGCGGTTTTGTGTCTGCAGCATTGTTGTCCTTTTTCGTTGTTGTTTTCTGCCCCATTTTGTTTTCGTCTTCGCTTCTTCGTGCTCGCTTATTTATTTGACCGTCTCTCCCGCCCAACATTTTCCACGCCCACTTTTCCGCTTTTCCATCACCATATACTACTACTACCTGCTGCATTATTCAGACGCCTCGACTCGGAATCGAACAAAATGCATGATAAACAATTTCCACTAAGAGAAAAAAGGGGGGCCAAAGGGGCGGAGACAATGGCCGCTTAGTCTCGTCATCTTGCTGTTGTTTTTCCGAACCGTTTTCCCCCCCTTTTTTCGTGCTCCACAAAGGATGGTCTAACAGTAGTGATCGGAAGAATAGAAAAAGGATTATTTTACATAAGAACCAAGAAAATAAAAAGTCCTTTTCAACTTAAAGTCTTCACTAATTGCCACCTTCTCTTCCAAAAATATCGATTCCAATTATTTTTGTAAAATCCTTTTTCATCTTAAATGCTATTGCTGTGACCATAGCTGTATGTCCTGCATGCGTTAGTTGTTTATTAAATATAAATGATTGTCACTTGCGGCATGTTGCTGCCGTGTCCTTTTCGAAGTGAAGCGAAATGTTGATGGTGATGATTGCTCGAATTTCATTGAGCCAGGACACGATGCCTGCAGGACATTGGGGGTTTCTTATTGCGATTCCTTGTTTGAACTGCAATTGCTTGCAATTTAACCCCCATACATGTACTACGGCACTTTTCTTTTAGGCAGGCGCCTCCGTGGCTGCTTTGACAAGTCATGCAATTGATATCGATACGGGGAGGCGACTGGACATTTGCCATTTGGTCGTCATAAATGTGAATTGTCACGACGGCATCCCGTCATCAAAGTGAAGTTCCACTACCACTTCGCCGATATCCACCGCTGTGCAATCATCGTCAATCGCCCGATATTGACCACAAAATGCCATTAAAAAATAATTACGAATTTTAATTGGCATTTAGTTGAGGCAAAAAAATTAAGTGCGTTCAACATAAAATGTGATTACACCCGTTGCACATAGAAAAACGAATGGGGGATAAAATCAGCGAGGTGTGTGTGCAGCAATTAACTTTCAATCGGATTGTTATACTAGATGATATGGGGTGTTAAAGAATACTCAGTGATTTCAATCAAATTGATATCTAAAAGCTATAAACTTTAGGTATCAGTTACTGGGTTGACTCTAAAAATTGTTAAATTATTAGATTTTTCAACCTTTTTATTGATTTGAATTTCAATTATTATTTTGCCACACCTTTTAAAAGAGTATTTGTAAATTTCCAAACTTAAACAGACTTTTTTTTATCACTGATTACATTAACATTTTTTATCCGAATCTGTATGGCAATAATATGAGCCTGCACGCGTCACCTGATGCGTATCAAAGTACCTGATTGTAGTTGGCACTTAAAAATCAATTAACAGCCGGCTGCGTCACAAATAATTCCAAATGGCCAGACAAATGAAGAGCCCTTCAAAAGAGGAGAGGTTTTTTTTTTGCCTTTACATTCCTTGTGATAAATTTATGCAACTACCTCTGCGGTAGCTTTGTGCCACCTCAAATGGTGTGGCAACATGGCTTTTCCCTTGCATTTTTCCAACTTTCCAACCGATTGCGTGCTCTACCCACTGAGCCACCTAGCCACCGAACCACAAATACCCCGCACCACCAACTCCAACCAGAAAACAACACTAATTGCGGTATTAAAATAAACTACAATTGCAAATGGCGCATTTTATTTTGAGCCAAAAGGAAGAGGGGTAGAGGTAAGGTCCTTGCTTGGTTGTTATTATTTGCTGCAGTTGCTGGTATTTCTGTTTGCCATTTGCATTGTTGCCATTTCCGTTGGATGCCGCATTTTTCTATGTAATTGTGGTTTCGTAATGTGTGACAATTAAATCAAGTTCGTGGAAATTTCTAGACCAAAAGTGGTAAGAACAGAGAGAGAGAGAGATTCCAGCGAAGATGGCCCAAAAATTATACAATAGGTGCAATAATGTGACTTTTCTTCCTCTCTCTGCCCCAAAAAACTGCTCTGTTCATAGGCCTTTCGTATGCCATAATCATATTTAAGGGTTTCCTGGAATATTCGTGCGACTGCAACCTCAATTGCAATTGCAATTGCTGTTGAACAGTTGGTTAGCTGGACTCGTCCGCCACTTTTCCGCCATCTGCCAACGTCCATTGCTGCGCTCGCTGCTCTGTTTGGTTGAAAACCACAAATTAAGCAGAGAAATCCTTGCCGTGCATGCGAACGATGGCGCCGAGGCAAACAAAAAAAAAAAAAAAGGAAGAGAAAGGAAAACCAGGGGGAAATATAAAACCTTTTTAAGGGCTCTGAATTACCCATTATTATGCCATGAAAAGCATTTTTACTTATAAACTGATAGCTGGATAACAATGTTCATTGCAACTTTTAATTTTTAACGAATTTTTATTTAAGAAATTATGACTTAAACTAAACAACTTTTTTTCAAAGCCAATTTCTTCGCAAGGTTGTTAGAAGCCATGGCAAATAGCTAGTGACATCCACATAGGTGCTATAACCATCACAATTACCCGTAACCGAGCTAGTAACTCCAAACTGTGCATAGATATAGCCTCTTCCATATCTCATCGTTGCTCCCAAAGGACTTCCCGAATCTCCGAAGCAAGCGAACTGCGAGGGATTGCTGCAACATATGGTATTACTTTTTGCACCACAAAAGTATCGATCCACACGACGGAGAGACATTTCCTGGAGCGTTGTAGGCATTTGATAATAGGTGGCCGTCTGACCCCAGCCGGTAAGGGTAAAGTCCTGTAATCTGTCTACGAAAGACTGCATTCCGGGATTCAAGAAAATGCAGATCGGTCGGATTTTATCTGTAAGTGGACGTTAGTATGGTAAGTGATTATTTTGTTTAATAAATGATAATTCATTTAAGCTTTATTACCATTATATATCACTGTTCGATCCAGCTTTAACACTGCAATATCATCGTGTTCGAAGTTAATGTACTTTTCATGTCGAAAAGTGGAAATAACTCGATATTCTGCAGTTCTGCCATCTGAAGTCCTCGAAGAATCGTATTCCCCCAATCTAACATATCTTTAGAAACAAAACTTTATGAAATATAAATTAGAGAGATAATTAAGCAATAACTTACAAATTGTTGTCAGGTATTTGGGTACAATGACCAGCTGTTAGCACGAAACCTGAAAGAGTTTTTAAAATAAAAGTTTAGATATAAGAAAACCCACAAACCAAAACCAAGTACTAACGATAAGCAATAAGTGAACCTCCACATGCGAAAGCATTATTCCGGATTAGATATGCCATCCATGGAGATCTTCGAGCACTACGACCACCAATAACTCTCGTCGCATACGATGGTATACATTTTGGTTCCAGCAATTGGGTAAAGCCAAGTTTTCCAAAGCTGAGAATTGCTAATAAAGTCAACAGAGCGATTGCAGGCCTCATCTTCGATCGAATTACAATATTGAACTGTTGTAAAAATGCAATTTTCTTTATAATGAAGCGGAATTCAAGAGAAATAAATATTTACATTTAATCTAAAGAAACATCTTGAAAAACATAAGGCTTTCTTGGAAAATTGTAATAAAAGGCAGAACATTGATAAGAACAGAAATGTTTAAAATAAATAATACTGATTAAAAATGTTTATTTATAAGTTATGTATTTCTTATTAAGTTTTATATAAATAAACATGTCCTTAAGCTCATTAAATTTTATGTTTGAAGGTTGTTTATCATCTGTTATTCCTTTAAATTTTAGTAAATGCTGATTACCGCTTTGAGATCTATAAAAATATCCAATTCCATACTATAACTTATCAAAAAACTTTTATAATAATCTTAATTTATATATCAACTCCCCAAGAACAGACATTTATAAAACGGGTATACCTCAAAAGCTCACCAATTGAAGGGTATTGAAAAAATACAAACGCAGGCGAGCGCCCACAAACATGCAACATCCCGACCGCAATGTATTACGAGGGGCGTGGCAGGTCTGGGCAGCCAGATAAATGCCCGTTGCTGCTGCAGTTGCTGTTGTTGCTTTTAATGTTGTTGCTGGCATTGTCGTTGCCATGTTGCCACGTTGCATGCAAACAAGTGCAACACACACTCGCGCACAGCAGCAAAATACAAAGACACGGACGCTGACACGCTGGTGCCCGCACGTCAGCGCTCGTGCGTTTATTTGCCGTTTCCGTTTCCGTCTGTCGTCGTCGGCGTCATCGCTCCTGCTTCAGAATCCCTAGCCTTAACCCTCCACTGCCCCCTTATGCAGTCCCGCCCATTGCGGTCAATTGCAGAGCTCAGATTGCGCGTTAATAAGTTGCTGTTGTGTTGTGTTGCTGCTACTGCTTCTCCTGCTGCTGTTGTCACTGCCGCGAGGACTTTGCATGTAATGCACTTGGAAGTATCACGGTTTCCGTAATTTCCATAGGACCCATTCAACCATTTCCAGAATGGCAACATAGTCAACTAGTCAACGCAGGCACTATCAGCATCAGCAACATGTTGCTGCTACAGAGTGGCAACAGCAGCAGCAGCAGCAACAGCAAGAACAGATAGCATCGTCAAAGTAGCAACACAAAGTTGTTGTTGTTGGGCAACAGAGTCTCCTTTTCGACTTGGCTTGAAGTTTTTATGTGCCCGTCCTGAAACTAATAACCGTAATGCTTAACGTTTATTGAAAAGAGGTGGCCAGGTGGGTTGTGACACTCCGACTTTACTACATATAGATATATATATATATATATATATATGTGGCAGGGAAGCAGTCGGACAGTTCATAAATATTTCCAGCAGCTGCACGGATGCAACTTTTTGGCGTCGCATTTAATGAAGCAGCCACTAGCTTGACCAATTCCCTGTCCTTATTGCCAAGGAAATCAAGAGTTTTACGAAGGAAAGAAAAGTTTCTCTCCGACAGTCTGGCACTTTTCCTTTCAGCTTTCTAAGTTCAATAAAAAAAACCACTCACAAAATGTTAAGTTCAGAATTTATTGAATAAGATGACGTTTAAGATTTTATACTATATATTATTTATTAAATTTTATAGCTTTATTTAAAAAATAACAATTTTTATTTGGGGAAATAAAGATTGCAGATAAGAATTATTATTACTGTGAATCGAAGACTAAAGGTTGAGAGGTTATTTTCGTAATAAAAGTTTTTGTCTGAACTTTTTAGAATCTGTACACCAAAAAAACAAATAGATAATCCATTTCTTTTTTAATCATCAAATCTTAAATATTGATTTAAATATTTTATATTAATAAATATTTCTTTTGATAAACAAACCCGTCTAAAATGATTCAAAATACGATTACTTTGACTTATTCTATCTTATCTTTGCTTATCTTAGCTTCTGATGCCTTACTTTTCTCAGTGTAATCAGTCCATTGCGGTCATCTACGAATGGCGGTCATCTATTATGCATGGCCTCAAAGAAGAAAAATGATCAACAAATGATTGACATCAGAGCTGCCCCTAAACTCCCCTAAAACGCGACCCTCCTACAATTTTCCCACACCTCCCCTTTCGAAAGCAAAAGGAAGTTGCGTTTTCCGGGGCAAAAGTTTTGGCAAAGTGAAAAACTTGCTGTCAGCATTAGATAAGCGCCACAAGTTAATAGACTTGTAAAACACACACACTTCTGCAGTGTTGACCCCTCACAATGAGACCTTTGGCTAAAGAGGGGTGGTATCTATATGCCGAAAAAGGAATTTTATTTATTTGTTTGTCGTTCGGCATGTGGCGCGTGTTCCGTTTGGTTTTGGTTCCACCCTCCTCCTGCCACTGTGTATAAAAAATAGTGATATAAATAAAAATGTTATATACGCCCACGGAAGGTTTCGGGGGGCAGTCGACGGCCGGCTTATCAGCCAACTAACAATTTAGGTTGTCAACTTGAAGGGCGGTCAGGCAGCTGGTGGCAACGATGAGGGGGTGGTAGTGGCTAAAACTTTTCTGTTTAACTAGACTTTTGCTTAATTTGAGCGTCTGCGGCTTGGTCTTTAGTCTTTAGCCCCTTTTGTTTGATCTCTCTCTCTCTCTCTGTTTGACCCCCGGTCAAAGTTTAGCTCATCAACAAATGATCCATGGATGTTGCTGGGGGGCAGGGTGATTGACAGCCCACTTCCCTTTTAGCTAAGACTCTCAGAGGAGTGATGTGTATCAACTATAGTAACTTTCCGAGTCGATTTCAATTAATCAAATGTCAAAATACTTGACAGCTAAATTTATAACTCATTTGGAGTTGGTATAGTAGACCCTCAAGTTAAGGGGAAACAGACGACAGCAGGATGTGGCTGCGGCTGCTGTTGCAGCCTGTGTTGCACGGTGTAAACTTCAAACACTAGACGACAAAGTGCGGAGACAAACAGAGGTGGCACCAAAAACCAAATGACAAGTGTAAAAATGCAATCACAGAGGCGTGGCATCTTCATACAATGTTGCTGCCACGACTCGTTGTTGCTGGCGTTGACATTGCCATGTCATCACTCTCCCTCAGACAGTCAGTCAACTAGGAAGTATCCCCTCTTTACCCCTATTCCGTCACCCGACGACAGGGTTTATGTTCTGTTATTTACAATAGCGCATTTTTACACATATTTTTTCAAAGTCAACAACATGATTTTCGCAGTCTACGCTGCGCGACGTGTGCATAAAACCCAAACAGTGAATACGAGCAACAGCAACAGCAACAGCAGCAGCAGCAACAGGGAAACAACATTTACATTTTAAGTAGTTTTTAAATCGCTGCAGACAAACGTCAGCGTGTTGACAATTTATCATGCTCCTGCTCCTTTGAAAGTGGGTGGATATTTTTTGGGGTGGTGCGACGTGATACATCCGGCAGCACCCGTCGCGCTAAGGCCAGTGCAATTTTTGATTGATTGCTGTCAGCTGGCGGAGTGTTTAAGCACAGACTCCAACTATAAGGACTGCAATGTATTTGCTAGAGGGAAATACAGAAAAGAAAAGCGGGAAAAACACCGCTCACCGCTCACTGCTCTTTGCGAATTTTCTTTTTAATTAATTTAAGGCCGAATGCAACTTATTGATTTATGTGCCGGCCTGCAAATGAGCCTGAAAGGCGCCAGCGGCGGCTGTGTCCACTTAAGGGAAGAATACTCAATTAGCTGCGACTGCGGATGACGATGATGAGGATGTAGCTACACTGAGAGAAAAATGCCATGAATAGGTAAGGAAAAAAATATCCTGAAAAAGAAGTTGGAAGTTCAGTATTAATATCAACACCTTCCTTAAGGAATGTTCCATGTTTATCCATAGATTTCTCTCAGTGCATCGACTCCATGACTCACTTCTCGCAGCTCGTTAAGTTGATCACATTGCCAGCGGGTCAAGTGTCAGGACAAGTGTCAGGACTCCCTTTGCACATCCTCTGGCTGCATTTTCACATATGCAAAATTAATTATTTGGCGGATCTGTTCTCGAAGACGGCGTAAAGTTGAAGTTGCTGCATTTTTTTTTTCTGCCGGACGAAAATTCAATTGAAACTTTGCAGACGACAGAGAATGCGATTGCGACAAGGCTAATTTCCGTGTTTCCTTCGATTTCGCCTTCCTGAGAAGTTTCCATAAAGATGCCGATGCCAAAAACTTGCATTGAAGTGGAGTCCGTGGCTAAGGAATTTATGAAGTGCTCGCCCGCGGCTGATTGCCCACCAAAATCCCCGTTCTTCTTGCTTTCAATTTGATTGTCCAGGAATCGAAGAATTTTTACTTTTATTTGAACTGAAAATCTCCCGGCCATCCATCCGTTGGTCGATGGTCATGGCCATGGCCATGGCCACTTGAAGCGCATTTTCTGCGCCATTTCCATTCCGACTTCTGGCCTTTTTGGCCAACCTTCCCCCCCTTGCCCCTACGCCTTGACTTTTCTGCTGGTTTGATAAATTGTCTGGAAATTACAAATGGACACAGAGGCCAATAGCTTTTAGGCAAAGTTCTCAACGCTGCTCTTGTTTTGGTTTGCGTTTTCGGTCAGGGGCATTTATGGTAATTTAAAATAAATGTGTGGCCCTGGAAGGAGATGGCTGAGGATTCGCAGGCGCTTCCTGTCTATTTACGCTGATTTATGGCCGAGCATTGTTGACTCTTAATGGCAAATGTCGACAAATTTGCTTTAATGGTCAATATAACAGAGGCTGACTGTTCTGTTATTTTTGATTTATGCCTTCGAACCCCAGTCGCCTGGGAATCAGTTCTCGGCCAAAAACCGAACTTGTTCTGGTTATCAGTTACTCGGTTAGGTCTTCTTCTTCCTTTAACACCAGAAAAACGTTCCTCGAAGATGGCAACTGATAAATGCCGCTGCGATGGGCAGACTTTGGGCGGCGAGAACAGGTGAGTCCTGGATTCTATGAATCCTTACGATTGGTAATTTTTCCTCCCCATCAACCATCTTAGGAGAGTTTTCTGCGAAGGACCCCTGCTGGATGCCGTTCAAAGGTCAAAGATGTTTCCCTGCTGCAAATACTTTGTGGACATGAGCTGCATTTTTACACCTGCCCAAATCCTGGATGATTTCAATCTGTTCAGTAATTGCCGCAGGAATGATGGCTCCCTGAAGTTCCTGCAAATGTTTGTTGAGGTAAAAAAGGAAAGAATAAAACAAATACGAATATTTCTAGTTCAGTTTAAGGACTTTTTTACTTCCTTCAGAAACACTTTAATGATCCTGGCTCAGAGCTGGAACCGTGGACTCCACCGGATTGGAAGGACCAACCTTCGTTTCTCACCAGAATCTGTGATCCCGAAATCAAAAAGTTCGGCTCGGATGTTAATGAACTGTGGAAACAGTTGGGTCGTCGTATTAAAGATGAAGTCAAAGCTAATCCCGATCTATATTCCATAATCTACGTTTCCAATCCCTTTATTGTCCCCTCTTCGGATTGCCGGGAGTATTGCTACTGGGAGTCTTTTTGGATTATTCGTGGCTTACTACAATGTGGCATGCATCAAACGGCTCGGGGAATGATTGACAACTTTTTGTCACTGGTTCAGCAATATGGATTTGTGCCCCAATGTGGCAGAATTTACTGTACTAGCCGCTCAAATCCTCCGCTTTTGATAATGATGGTTAAGGCATATATGGAGGTCACCAATGACGAGAAATACGCCATTAATGCGCTTCCCTTGCTGGAAACTGAATACCAAACCTTTATAAGCAAGCACTCGGTTAAGGTGAAGGGCAAGACCATGTATCAGTACCGAGACTCCTCAGCTGGGCCAAGACCCGAGGCCTACAGCGAGGATTTACAGTGTGTTGCCAATATCCAGAATCCTCAGTTACGTGAAGTTATGTACACCGAACTGAAGTCGGCTTCTGAATCGGGCATGGCCAACAGCTCTCGTTGGTATGTGACCGCCGAGGGAACTAATCAGGGATCCCTTCGAGACACCAAAACCTCTGCCATTGTGCCTGTTGAACTGAATGCCATCGTCTTCCGGAGTGGTAAAATCCTGGCCGAGTTCAATCGGAAGGCGGGAAATACCGAGAAAGCTGATGAATACCAGGATAAGGCATGTGCCCTGGTAAAGGCCATTCGGGATATCTTGTGGAATGCCCAGGCAGGTATTTGGTTGGACTACGATCTGGTCAACAAGAAGTCACGGAACTATTTTTGCTGCACGAATTTTGCTCCCTTGTGGGCCAGGGCTTTTCCCCTGGTCGATACGGAAAAAGTGTCCAATGGGGTGATGCAGTACATTATGACCAATAATTTGGATGAGCAATATGGTGGAGTACCTTTTACGATGAATATGGAATCTGGCCAGAAGTGGGACTATCCCAATGTCTTTCCACCCATGATGTTCCTGGTCATTGAGGGACTTGAAAATCTGGGTACTCCCGTGGCCAAAGAAATGTCCAGACGCTGGGCTCATCGTTGGGTGAAGTCGAATTATGCGGCCTACAAGTATGAGAACTTTATGTTCGAGAATGTAAGTCGATCGCTATTGATCTGATTAAGTAAAACGAACTCTATATCGGAGATAAATGATACCTTACATAAGAAATCTATACCATATCATAGTTTTAAGTTTCAATAATCTGTCAAACAGGGCTTTGTCCCTGTCCGAGAAAGATCTTCCAAAATTACAAAATTTATTCGTCTTACAATGAAAATATCCTAATTTCCATTTATCCCTCTTTTTTTTAGTACTTCTGTGAGGAATTCGGTTCTTCGGGAGGAGCCTCTCCAGAACATACTCCAGTGGGTTACGGTTGGACAAACGGGGTGATCATCGAGTTCCTCTGCAAGTACGGCAAGGATATCAACTTGGCCGACGACGTAGACGAGGGCTGCAAGAGCACAGCAGAGGGTGCGAAAGGTGCCGGCAAGCACGAGTACATCATTACCAGTGAGGCAAATATGGATGACCAGCCTCCTAAGAAAGTCCAACGAACTCAATCGCAACAAACACAAAAAGGAGCGGGTGGCATATGTTCCTGTGGGGCTGGAGCACAACAGCCAAAGCCACAGCAACAGGCTGCAGCATGTGAACTTTGTGGATCACAACGAACTCTATTGCAACAAACTCAATCGCAACAAACACAAAAAGGAGCGGGTGGCACCTGTTCTTGTGGGGCTGGAGCACAACAGCCAAAGCCACAGCAACAGGCTGCAGCATGTGAACATTGTAGATCGCAACGAACTCAATCGCAACAAACGCAAAAAGGAGCGGGTGGCACCTGTTCCTGTGGGGCTGGAGCACAACAGCCAAAGCCACAGCAACAGGCTGCAGCATGTGAACTTTGTGGATCGCAACGAACTCAATCGCAACAAACGCAAAAAGGAGCGGGTGGCACCTGTTCCTGTGGGGCTGGAGCACAACAGCCAAAGCCACAGCAACAGGCTGCAGCATGTGATCTTTGTGGATCACAAAAAGGGCAACAATCCCAAGCCCAAATGCGGAGATCCCAGATCCAGCAAGGACAAACAGGAGCAGACTGTGCGTGTGGGGCAGTAGCAAAGATGCAACAACAGCAAAGATCTCAGCAGCAGTTTCAAGGGGCAAGGGGAGCTCCAAGTGACTCGCAGAAGCAGCAACAACAACAGATGCAGATCCAAAAGGACTGCATGCAACAGCAACAGGAGCAGCGTCGGGAGTTTCAGAGGCAGGAAGAGAAACGGCAATGCGAAGAGAAGAAAGAAGATTGCACCACTAAGCCACAGCCTCAGGATTGCTCTAAGCATCTGAAAAGCCAGCAAGAAATAGAGAATGCCTGTAGTTGCATGGATGATGACGAGGTTCAGGATGGGGCAAAGCCAGGACAGACTGGTAACTACTTCCCAGTGGGCGACAAAGAAATTAGTAATACACCTGCGTCACGGACCCGAACCTCGGATGGCAGCGATGGTGCCAATGATTGCTCTTGCTTGGAGGGCCAAGGTCAAGGGAATGTTGCTCCACCACCAACCTTTATATGTCCACATTGTGGTGGCCTTACAAGTCAGCCGCCGTCCGTGTGCGCCTCCACCCATACAGTGGGCACCAATAAAGCCTCTGCACAGCAGGATGATTGTGATTGCTCTGGTGCTGGAGCTGGTGGTGCATCTGGTCCGCAGCAGCAGCAAAGTTCAGCCAATGCAGGTGCAGGTGCCACCGAGTGTGGTCCTTGCAAGTCTCGCCTAACTTCAGATTATCCCACGGGCCATGGACCCAAGCCCTACTTTAACAAGCAATTCCCGCTGGCTGATCCTGTTCATACTGAAGGAAACTGCCCCCCGCCATCTGAGAAGAATAAGAAGAAGAAGTGCTGCAACTGTGACGAAAAAGAAGAAGAGGAATAATATGATCACCCAAAGATCATTGCTCTAGAAAATCAACCGAAGGCCGAACCGAAAAATTTAGTGTGTCAAATTTGTAGTGCTTTTTCGAAAATATCCAAAATAAAGAATTCAAAATTAGATTAGAAATTAACTTAAATTTTAAAAGCAATTTTTGATATTTTAAAACTTTAAACTGGAAGTTTCTAAGATTACAAATGGGTTTTACAGAAGTACACTTTATGGACAGGTTGTTATAAAAAAAATACAGATCAAAAATAAAATATTCGTTTCGCGGGCGTCTCATCTTGATGAAGTAAAAGATGTCCTTGCTGAAGTACCAAGAATGGCAGGATTCAAGACCCTTTGTTACTTCTTTCTGGGTATATCAGATACATCAATAGCTCTTCGGTGACCTCGACCTTAGTGTGGGAGCATCCATAGCCACTGCTAGCCAGTTCATGTTCCTCTTCGTCCAGCACATAATACAAGTCACTGGAAAACATTGATGAAATATCCTGTCCTGGTTGAAGGACCTTAAGAGCATCTCGCCGGAAAAGTTGAATTGCCAGGATTATCTTTTCACTAGACCTCAAGCAGGAGTCCAGGGGCTCCTCTTCGGGAATTCTCACCTGCTGGCATAGAGCCTGATCCAGCTGATGGAGCAATCTTCGGTAGATGAAACTAGCGAATGCCTTTCGCTGACAATCATTGAACTCCCTGGTTCGCAATGAACATGGTTCCAAGACAGCGTATCCCACGAGGATCATCAGAATCAGCTCGGTAACGATGGACATGGCCAGGACCCAAAGGAGGCACTCCTTATCGCAGTTTCCCAGATTTGAGGATTCTTTCCAGTCCAATAATGGCGGCACGCCCTCTGGCACGAAACCGGGATGCAAGGTGGCCACCAACATGGTCACCGGGTGAAGGGTCACAGGTCAAAGATCACCGAACCGAGTTTCAATTTGGAATTTTGATGTTGTTAGTTTTGAATCTTTTAGCGTACTATTGTTGGTACAAAACTAAGGAGCCATGGCCTGCTTTCCATTAATTCTATCGTTCTTTCATTTTCTATCAAAAAAAGCCTTAAAATTGTTTAAAATTTAATATAAAGATGAATTGATAAGCTTAACTAATAGGGTTTATAAATCCTAATCAGACCAGAGTTCAACGATCTAATCTTAAACGAATACAAAGATTTGGCTAACCAAACCAATCTATAGATCCCTTCTTACACAAACGATACAAATTTCTCTTGGCTATGCCATTCAGTCGGGGAAAGTGAAAGTAAAAGTGCGAGTGAGAACAACGCCTAATTTCTTCCTTGACATGCCATTCACAATCCACTATGGTTATCTTTATGGGCCTGTCAATATCTTTATGACGCGCCCACCGACTGCCACCCGTCGACAAGGACACATTTCGGGGGAAAGCGAAAGTATCCTTTGACACAATTTCCTCCAGCCTCTGTCTCTTTCTAACTGTCTGTATGTGTGTGTGTGTGTCTGTGTGCTCAAGCTTGTAATATTTGTGAACGAATCATTGATGTGTTCACACACAGACCCAGACACATGTGCGTTCAGCTGCTGTTCACTGACTCATAAGCTCACCCACAAGGCTCAGCCCCCCCTCGCATCCAAAATCGAACCGAAATATGCGCGCTCCATTACAACAGAACCCCCCCATACCGCCATACCATCCCGGAAAACCCCCTGCCGGGATGCGATTGTACGGCTCTGATATTATTGAAATGCCATTTTGATTGGCTTTGATGTGTGTGGATGGGCGAGTAACGATTTGATGTTGCTAAATGTTTTATGCAGATGCATAATACCGATACCATAGCCATACCATTCAGTCCCATGATGTGATTAAGCGATAAGTAGTCAGCCATGAAGCATTCTGGCCAGAGATATTAGTTTGTTCGCCCGGTGATTGCACTCCACGCTAATTTGATTGAATGGCCTCCGAATGGTTTTGCATAAAAGAGTTCGGGTTTTGTTGGAGCTTTAAATGGGAACGAGTTATGAGAGGATCCCCTATGGCCTCTCGCTTCCGAGTTCTTATCCAATTATACACTTATGGCCATTTGTCAGTGGAATGTGTCAACAGTGCCGCGGCATTGTGAGTGTCGGTGTCGGAGTATGTGTATGTGTGTGTGTGTGTCTGGTTTTGCGAAATAAGAGCCGAAACCCAGACCGAGCAGTCGGGAAAGGAAAATCCAAGGCTGACAGACAGACAGCCTGGCAAACAGTGAAAACTCAGGGAGGGAAACTCTCAACCACAACCGAATAACCGAGTCATATCACAGACGTGCAACTGAGCAGCACTTGATGATGAAGAATGTGAGCATCCTTGGCAGCGCCTGCACATGGCACTTAGGGCACTGGGGAAAAATAAGGAACCTAAACTACAACCTCAAGGTAAATCAAGAGGTTAAAGCAGTAGTAGAAGATCAATTCAGGCTTTTCCTTTAAATAACATGAATTAAATAAGATTAAATTAAACTGTCTACTATATTTACATAAATGACATTTTCTCAGTGTATTCCCACTGCTAGCCAACCTTGTCCCTAGTCTAGAAGCAGTGATGAAATGCAGAAACGCTGTAGCTCATCAGTCTTCAGGAGTAGGACTCAGTAGGATCCCCGACCCATCAGTCCCCCTTTCCGTTCCACAACATCTTCGCCGGAAATCCCCTCTTGATTATAAGTTTGACGCACCGCAGCCTTTAATGCGGATTCTGGCGGAGATTCGCGACTAGAAATGAGGAAAAGTGAAGAAAAAGTTGCAGTCTGGCGACTTGGCAGACTGCTGAGTTGCGTTTCCAATTAGACTCTGGGCGAATCATTTGCATGTTATTGACTAAATTAAGTTCCAAGCTAAAAGTTGTAAAAATATGCGAAATTGGCCAGCAGACGAAACACAAAGCAAACTAAAGCGAACTGAAATGAAATAAAATGAAATGAAATGAAATGGAGAGGGATTTTGGCTCAGATGGTATTAGATCGGATGACAACAGTTCAAATAATTCCACTTTGACCTGTCAAAAAGTGCTCTCCACCTGAGTTCGTCCTGCTGAGTATAACCATAGAGCTGAGTTGAGTCTTTGTTTGGCTGCAAATTGAAATTGAAATTTGCATGTTTGCCACCAGAAATGTTTCAATTATTCGCATGCACAAATGAATATAAAATCGAAACAAGCGGCAGGAGCAGCTGCTTGAACAACTATAACAACAACAACAGCAACGAGAAATCTGTCATATGTCAAACTTTGCCATATTTAATTTCCTCTTTGCGAAATTAGTTTTTCCTCATCCGAAAATTTTGTGTGCAGCACATATTCGTGTTTGCCGCAATTTTTTCTCTATGTTTGCCTTTCTTCTCTCTATAAGTCTGCCTTTTTTTTCCTTCGTTCCGCCCCTCACACAGCTGCAATAATTCATGTTCAAAACTACAAATTGAGTCATAAACAACTTTTGATTTCGCATATGGCAGCCATGTCCTCCGGTTTCTGGGGGTTGTCTTCTATTTTTTTGTTTTTCTGTTTTGCGTTGCATACTTTTTGGGGTGCATTTGGGATCGGATTTGGAGAGGGGAGTCGTCGTGAGTCGTGATCGCAATAGTTAGGATAAATAAGGATATAAATTTAATGAAAAATTATTCTAAAATATGTAAGAAAAATAAAATAAATATATGAAAATCTTAAATACAACCCCAAGTCTTAACAAGTTGAAAGTATCTCTTATAATTTTTTCCTTTCGTTCATAACATACATACATAACCACTTAATTTACAGTTTAGTAACCCCTAACCATAGTAATTATCAACAAACCACATATTAAGTAATGTTCAAACAATGTAAATACCAAATACCAAGTAAACTTTTCAGTTTTTGTGCACCTCTAGCTGGATTTGCCGGAAGTTCCCATTGTGTTCTAGTTGACCTTTTTAAAAATTCAAGCCCCTGCAGTCGCACTCATTAAAAACAAAAGACAAAATCCTGAATGTGTGTGTGCATATATATAGAAGCATAAAACCGCTTAATTCATAATTTAACAGGGCGCACTTTTAGTTGCGGTTAAGAGAAGAAGAAAAAAAAACCAAAAGTTGAAAAACCATTTAAAAAGGTATGCAAACAATGTTCGTCCGTCTGGATGTCAGAATGTCTGGATGTTTGGGCTTACTTATGTATTTCACTCTTTATGATTTATTTCGATATGCTCTGGCCACACTCAGACACCAGCGGCTGAAAACCCGAAAACCCAAAAAGCTTTGCCGCTTAATTTCATTAAAAATTTATGAAATAAAGGCACAGCCAGGATGGCGTATTAAAATTTGATAGTCTGCTCGGTGTGTGTCTGTATTTTTTTTTCATATATATATATATATATATATTTATGTCTGTGTGTGGGTGCTCCATGCGTCATTGTTAATATTGTGCTGCGGTTTTTACGCCAAAAGTCAACGATGGACGAAAAAATGTTTGGCCCGTCTGTGTGCACTTTATTTGATGGACTTGTTTATGAGCCATTTCCATGCCATTTTCATTCGCATTCGCATTCGCATTCCCCATCTGGAATCGGCTGCACCTTGATTCTTATTTTTATTAATGTTTATTGCGTTTCGAGCATTTAATTTGATGTCCGCATCCAAGTTGGCAAATGATGAGACGTTAAATGGAATTGCAACTCGAGTTGTCCTTATCCGCCCAGCGAACCAATTTGCAAATGCACACGAATTGCGGTGGCCGACGACGCACTTTTCCCTTCTACCCTTTTCTTTCTTTATTTTTTTTTTTTGGCCAGAAATTGCATTTTTAATATCCTTGGCAAGGATCGCGAGCTGTCATGGGTAATGAATGCGCGCCCTGGCAAACAATTATTTTTATATGACGGCTGACTGGGACAGGCATTCGCTTGTCTCCTTCTGCTCTTCGAAAGGATTCTCCAGCTGCTTCTTCGTCTTCTTCATTCTTGTTGCCAACGGTAACGGTAACTGCACATAAAAGTCCCGTTACATACTTGAGAAGTTACAAGATGTCATTTCGGCATCCTGCAATATTCATAACTGCCTCGAGAACACTGAAAGAAAAGTTTAGGTATATATAAAATAATTGTTAAAAATACTTAAAATTTAAAAAATATACTAAAAATGTACTAAAAATGTTATAAATAATTTATAAAATTGTAAACAAAATGCTGAATTATGATATAAAAATCCTAAAAAATGTATATATCTGTTAACTCTTTGAAGATTTTCCTCTCTGTTTGCACGCTGGGAAAACGCACTCACTCATTTCATTTGGGATCTTGCCAACACCTGCTGAACAATGGCGAACAATGTTCTAGTTACACTTGCCCCATGCAACAGTGACACTCATTAGATTAGCGCTGATTGCGTTGCCCCCTCAACCTAACCACCCAACCCCCTGCTATTCCCACCTTCAAAGGGGTTTCTACCAAATGTTGACAGCTGTGTGACAGCGATTGGGGAACGCCTTAAAAAGGCCTTGAGCCATCGGACACGTGGGCGGGGCTGTGGGTGGTGGTTTGGCTGCATTGATTGTTTTTGCCACTGGTAATTTGAAACTTTAAAATATTTATGATTTATGTTTAGTTTCCTTCTGGTGAGGGTGACAAAAGTAAGGACATGGAAAACCAGGAAAGCCAAAAGGACACCCTCGAAACTCTGTGGGCGGTGGTCGGTGGGCTAGGGGGTGTGGCCATGGCGAAATGCTGGAAAATTTTTCATTATACAGTTATGCAGTCGCGCAATAAGAAAGGCAAGAAGTAGAAAACCCAAAGAGGAGTGACATCTAATGGAGTCCGCAAATTTTGCATGAAAGGCGGGAGGGTAGGATGAGCATGGTCTCTGAGAGATTGGCCAAAATATTTGGCACGTGCTGGTGAGAGGGGAAGATGCTGGGATGCTGGGGCTTTTGCGCTTCAAGTAATGCCGAATTGAGTTGTCAGTTGTGCGAAAAGTTGCGTTTTATGAGGGTTGATGTG